CTATTAATTTATTGGTTAGCATGTAACGCCTGCATGCATTTTCATCGGGAGTTTTTCACTATTAACACAGTTTTAAATAGGCCAGTGACATAATTTTAAGGGTCGCACAAGTAGAACAAAACAAATGAAGTAATTTGTTTGCTTAAGCCCCAATCAGGGATTTGTTGTCATTAAACAACACATTCTTTGGAAATTTTGAATTAAGCCGCTTTAATTAAGCCAAAATTGAATTGAACCGCAGTTTCTCAAAGTCTATTTTCTGTGGCCTAAGAACACTGTAAACAGTGCTAACCCGTTTAGAGCTGATTGACGTGCTTGGCTGCTGATTCTTACACTCAGCGCAGTCTATGAGCTACAAAGGCAGTGTACCCACAGCGCCCCCTCTCGGCGGAGCACTCACTCACGGCCTGTAAGCTCGCTTTGTTCCTCTGAAACGCTGTTGTGTAACAGCCCTCGTCCGCGCGCCCCCTCCGTAATTCTCAAAGCAAACACTGCGAAACACAAAGTGAACCGTGGTCGGTGTCACGTGACCGCAGGCGAGGAAGCGGCGCGCCTGTCCTCAGAACGGCGCTCGCGCTGCTGACACGTTCCACACCGCGCGCTGGAAAACAGGTGAGTTAGCGCGGAGGCTGAGTGCAGCTCTCTCTCTCTCTCTCTCACTCTCACTCACTCTTGCTGCACTTCTTCTTCTCATTTCGTCTGTTTAGCTGTATGTTCGCATCGCTGCGCACTCAATCCGAAACTAACTGACAGTGAAGTGCAAACAGGGCCAAATCATTCTAACTGGCTAATGGTGCTGCTGTCAGACCTGCTGAAGGGGGCTGAGGGGAGAGCAGTGGGGGGCTGGAGATGGCACTTTGCTGTTCATATACACTATTTACATGTCTGTCATAAACTACTGAGTGTACTAGCTGCCTTATATTCTAGCTATTCATGAGACCAAAGGAGGAAATATCGGAGCTCTGCTAGCTGACTGTACTCGATGTGCATGATGTATGGATGCTTCATTTAAAAGGTTTTGCAGAACTTTAGCTGGTTCTAAACTGAACCAGAGTTAATTCTTCAGCTAAGGCCTTGTTAAGATTGGTTGGGATGCCATTTAGAGGGCAACAGCTTGCTCTCGAAGATCAATAATGTCACAATGCACGTCAAATAAGATCCTGAAACTAAAACGATCCCACATAGATGTCACTGTCCGTCAAATGTATGCAATGAAAATGCTTTTTGGATACTTATGACTGGATTATTAGACTGAATGTTTTGGTGTGTGAACAGATTACATATTAATAGTAAACCGAATGTTCCAAAACATTAAATCATCAGATCAAATCATTAAAATAATTTAAAACATACATTTTTGGAACAAACTGGGCATTGGGTGCCCCTGGGCCTTCACCCATATGGTAGACTGCCTTAACATAGACTGCAAAAAACTTGAAACAGGGCAGAATTTGTTCGTACAATGTTGCTCTTTCTCCATTTAAAACAAAGATTTTATTTGACTTGAATATATTAACACTGCTTTGTATTATATGAAGTTAGAGCTGGGCGATATGGCCAAAAATGTTATCACGATAAACAAAATTCATATCGTTCGATATCGATATCGTGTTTTAAACTATCCTTTATGGTCTGAACATGACGAACACTCGCCAAACAGTGGAACATTTCACAAATCTGTCATGGGAGAGTGGGAGAAAGTGTCTGGTGAGCTGTTTTGCCAGCTGGAAAAGCATGGCTATTTTTGTAATAGTCATAATTTAAGAAAGAAAACAGGTTATTTTTAGCTGGTGCCGAGCGCTCGGCTACCCCACTACAAATGACATCACAGTATTCAAACACCAGCCAGCGACGACTGGATTTCTCTATACTATCATACTAGTTTAAGGGGTGAACCGCAAAATATCAACACCAGACAAACGGAGTCGTCCTTTTAGGTACGTTTAAACTGAAAGCAGTGCTTTTGTGTCGTGTTTGATCTACAGTATCATCAATTCTCCGTGCTGTGTGAGTGACTGTGCGCTGCTTCAAGTTAGCCAGCTGCTAAAAACAGCTAGCCTGGAAAGATAGCGCTCTCCCGCTCTCCAATGCCCCAGCTTCCTGAGTTTACTTTCGTATAAATCAGGCCTGTAATTTACATGAACCCACTTCTTTCTTTCACTTTCGTTGCTTGGGAATGCACTAATACTAAATTATGACTGTCCGAGAGCTGCAACAGCGCTGTAGTTGTGAGGATTGTGATTATGATTTAACGCTGCTAAAGCTGGTTACGATGTACAGAAAGAGGTGAGTTCACTGTAGGACAGTATAGTTACACCACTGATCTCGTCACTCACACTCGGTTACAGGAGAACAGATCGCCGGTCGCTCCACTCAAACAGGGAATGTATAACTCCGCGTTTCAGCCGTTGCTAAAGACTCATCTTACTCATGGCCCCCTCCCTCTCTAATCATGTCGAAAAACTCAGAAGTGCGCCCTCTCCTGGCAACAGCAGAGTACTGTCGCTTTCCTTGCAGTAGAAAACACCACGAAGGCTTTCGCTGAACGTGGAAGTGTGAGAATGGTGTATTATATCGAACATTTATCGAACATGTCGTATCGCTCTATCGTGGAAAAGTTATATCGCGATAATTATCGTTATTGTTTTATCGTCCAGCCCTAATATGAAGTAAACGTTTTAAGTAGAAAAAAGACACCCTTTATTCCAGTGTAAAGCATCAATTAAATTACACAGTCCATATGTCATATATGCAGCCTGGCAGGTCTTCTTTCATGCACTGAGAGGTGCTCTGATGTTGCCTATCGTGGCACTAGGGGTAGAAGATATAGCAAAAACATATGACAAAAGTATATGATAAAAATATAATATCATAGTATTTTAATAAATTTGCACAAAACACAGTATGGCATGATATTTTTCAGACTGAATGCACCAGCAGCGCCACATTCAGAATCTGCAAGTCCATTGATTTTTATTCAGTGTTTCACAAACTGCGCTGCAGTAGTTTAACAAAACCAATTATGCTCTCTTTGTAATGAAACGTGCAGTTTGTCAGTGTTCTTAAAGTACTGATGTTATACACAATGTGATCAAAAGAGCATGTTGTGACATATTGTGACGTAATATTTTATGATAAAAATCGTAATACTGCCCAGGCCTAGATGGTACTAATAAGAATGTAAGAATTTGGGACTTCTTGAGGTGTTTTTTCCTTATAGTTTCAGTTCATTATGTTTTGACAGGTATCTGCCTTCATTAGTTTTGATTCACTGTAAAACCTATTATCATCCATCAGATATGATAGGCGGCTTGACTCAGAGCAGTAAACCCTACCTCCTAACACCTTGGGCTGTCATGATCATGAAATTCTAGCTGTAAATGAATTGCCACATACGTAATTGTGATTAGCAATTTGATTGTCTTTTCTGTTGAATACAACCAAGTACAAGTCAAAAATGGCCTAATTGGCTGATTAGCTGTCTTGTTTCTTAGCAGTCTTAGTTGCTCCCAACTGACCACAAACACAACTTGGACTCAAATAAACAAACATGGCTCCCTGCTGTCATCTAAAGCTGCGTTAGAGGGTTTGTTGGTTTTATAAGACCCACAGCGTCCCTCAATAAATGCTTTTCTTCCTTTTTTTTTAACATTTATTTGCCTCAGTCTATCTTTAGATGACAGTGAGGAGTAACATTTGTTTATTTGAGCTGTGAGTTGTGTTTTTGGTCAGTTGGGAGCTACTAAGACAGCTGGGAGACAAGATTGCTAATCAGCCAGTTCGGCCACTTTTGCCTTGTACTTTGATAGATTGCAATCCAAAAGAAAAAGACAATTAAATTGTTACTTGGAATTATTTATATGATCATGTCTGGCCTAGGTGTTAGATGGTGAGTTAAGCCACCTTCTATCACATATGATGCATGTTAATAACAAGTTTTAAAAGGAAATCAAAACTAATGATAGCAGATACCTGTCAAATCAAGATGAACTGAAACTATGAGGAAAGAACACCTCTAAAAACAAGACGAGAAGGCCCAAAACATGCTTTTCTGAGCATATCATGAATATCGTCAGTACTTAAAGAACACTGTCCAGCTGCATGTTTCATTACAAAGAGAGCAAACTAAGTCTTGTTTAATTTGATTTTGTGTACCTGGTCAGTGTATAAGTACTTTTCTGCTTTCCTTTTTAAAAGAAAAATGATGAAAATGCACTCAATTCAGATTCTGTTTGTTGCAGTGTAAATATAAAAATGTGAATGCGAACAACTGTGGTAAATAATTACACTCAACTTAAATAATTGTGAATAAGTGATTATGTAATAACTGTCACAGGCCTACTAACATCTCTGTGGTATTTGTTTTGCCGTACTAAAGGAATGTCTGAAACGGCCTCGTCATACCACAAAACTGGAGGATCATTTCCAGTTAGATACTGTTGTTGGGAAATTCCCCACTTTTTCTGCACATATTTTACCAATGAATGTTCACATTCACATTATTATTTATTTAAGCTTAACCTTATAGTTGCTTAAAAGTGTTTGATGTACTTAGTGATCTTGTCAGATCACTTAGAGCAACCAAAACATCCAAAAATCATATTTGAGCTTAATGTGACTATTCTTACTAAATTCATTATACTCTAGAAGTATTGTACAGTGCACATTTCTTTATTTAATCTATCATAGTTATGGAATTCATACATTTTCAGAAGAGATATATATGGAGAGAATGTGAGATACACTTGTGTACACATTGTATGACCTTATATCGGCCCTGCTGATGCAGAACTGCTTCCAGTTGCTACTTATTACATGTTACTTTACCGTAACTGACACTGTTTGTCTTATATTTTGGTCATTGACTTAACCTTGTTTATGTGGGCTCACCCTCTCACAGAGATGTTCATCATTAACCAGAGGTTCTTCTTCTTTGGCCTACATGATACTGATAATGAAATCCAGATAGCCTGTAAGATTAGCCAACCAGTGTTGAGTACGTTAGATGACCAAAGTACTTAGTAAAACTGCCAGGAAACTGAAAAAAATCCAGGGTACTGTGAAACTTGTGGCAAAGGGGTCCTGGGTGAAAAGACGGTATTTAGGAAATAAAAGGTAATTATTGGTAATTGTTTGCATTGCAGCTGCTAATATTTAAAAGTTGCAATCAGGGCTTTAACCTGCACCATTGATTACATCACCAACTGATTCATTCATTATTGTCATTAGAGTAAAAACTCCTGTATGTGCTACTTCAGTTTGCAGTCTTCCATGCTTATGCCTGTCTGTGTTCTTGGCAATGCAAAAGGCTAGTCTAATTGGAGAGACTAGCCAAAGTAGAGCAGCATTTGTTTGTGGAAGGTGTTAACCAAGTTGTCAGCTGAAACATAATTTAAGGAATTCAATTTCACCAAGTGAGCTAGCAGTGCTGCGGACCACAGCGCATTGCTCTCATGTATGTATGTATGTACAGTTGAATGTGAAAGTTTAATTTAATTTTATTTATTTATTGTTGATTTTATAAGTGAAAATATGTTAACTTCTGCACTTGCCATTTAGCAAAGAAAATGTGTACTTATTTTCACTTAAAAAGGCAAAAAGCATGTAATTTGACTTGAGGTGTTCAAACATTTGTATAGGACTGCATGTATTTATGTATTTATCTATCCTTTTCTCGACTCATTGTAGATAAGAGGAGCACTGCATGATATTATCTAAACAAGCTTCCAATCTACTACACAGGTCCTGGGTAATCGTTTTGACGGTTAGTTGCTGGGGTGCTTTGTCACCCTCTGAATATCATTTTTCTGACCACTTTAGTTAAAAAGACAACTGTCAAAATTAGTTCGTTGGCCTCCTGTTTCCTGTTTTAGGCTGATTTCCTGCATTCGATGAGATTTCAGTTTCATCACTAATGTACATACAGTGAGTCAGGAGGTACCTTTGGTGAAGGGCTATTTCAAATTCAGTAAGTTCCCACTTCAAGTAAGCGGGATCGAGGATACTGTAAATATTAATTCGGGACTAAAATATCTTTGTTTTTTTTGTTGTTTAGCACAACATATAATTTCTACATGCAACTTTAATTTTTCAGACTGTTTTGTATTTTTCCTGACAGACCTGCAGCATTTGTATTTGACAATTCTCTTTCATTTTTATACAGCTGGAGTTTGCTACCAGCATGTGGAGGATAACGTGGTGCTTACTACTACTGGCCACTACTTGCTGGCAGAGAGGCTACACCAAAGAGGGTGAGAATCCCCCCAGCCCCGGACATGTGTCTGTGGTCATTGTGGGTGGCACAGGAGACCTGGCCAAAAAATATCTTTGGCAAGGATTTTTCCATCTTTATTCCACTCAGGTCGGCAAAGGCTACACCTTCTCATTCTATGGAGGGGGGCTTTCTCCAGACGATAAGGGGACTGCGCTGCTCTTTGAAATCCTGAAGGAGCTGAAGTGCCCATCAGAGCTCACTGCAGAGCGCTGTGCACTGGTTAAAGAGCAGTTCCTGCGACTTTCGCAGTACCTCCAGCTCAAGACTGTGGAGGACTATGAGAAGCTCAGTCAGCAGATCCAGCAGCAGTTGAAGCAGGAGGGCATGGTAGAGGCCGGTAGGCTGTTTTACATGTCTGTCCCTGCCTTCGCCTACGCAGACATCGCAGCGAAGATCAACAGCACCTGTCGGCCTCCTGCTGGCACATGGCTCAGGGTTGTCCTGGAGAAGCCGTTTGGCCATGATTTTGGAAGCGCCCAGCTTCTCGCCACACAACTGGCCAGTTTTCTTAAAGAGGAGGAGATGTTCAGGATTGATCATTACTTGGGGAAAGAGGTGATGGCACAGATGTTCTAGATAAGCCTAAAGGTTATAAAGTAAGAATGTAAGGAAGATTTTATTGTGATAAATGTTTCTCTGTACTCCACAGGTTGTCTCCCAGATTCTGGCCTTCAGAAAAAAGAATAATAATCTTTTAGAGCCGATTTGGAACAAGCACCACATTGAGAGAATAGAGATTGTGCTGAAGGAAACACTAGACTGCAAAGGTAAAAGTTGTGTCATACACACAGGATAACACTGCCAATAGATGATTTCATACATTAAAACTGCAGAACTGTTACATTTACACTACCATTCAAAAGTCTGGAATCACTTTTTTTCAGTTATATACAACCACCTTGTTGAAGATGCATAAAAATTATTCTGTGGTGTTATTACTCCTCATCATTATAGGTTTCTAATTTGTAGGAAAATGAAATGTTAGTGGTGACATTAATGATGATCATAGCTGTAGTTTATTCAGTAATAACTGAGAAAGCTGCATAACACTAAGAATGAAGTTATTAGAAAAATTAAAGGGGAGTTCCACCAATTTTTTCAATTTTTTTGTATAGATCAACAGTTAGGATTTAAGTCATTTCGAGCAGTTTGATGTGAAGTGGTTTATTGTAGAGAGACCTACCAGCTCAGGAGCCAGGGGTTCTGGTATCTACAGCACAAATGTAGACATAATATTTGCTATCCAGAACCACCAGTGAACCTAATTGTGTCTCCTAAGTTTTTATATGTAATGTTAATAATGGTAAAATTGTGAGAACTTTTTTTTTCTTTGGGGACTAATTTTCCTTACAACACCCTACATGCTCTTCTCTGCCTAAAAGATATGTTTCAAGCTAAAATTTCATTTCACAACATAATGTCTCAAACATCAGGCAAACAATGTCTCAAACATCAGGCATTGTATTCATAATCATTTTATAACTTTCTGTAATAACTTGCTGTGAATGAGCTTTTAGAGGTACATGTCTGGTTCCTATCACCACCACTCTGAACAATTCTGACTCAATAAGTTTCTCTAGAACAGAGCATTTCACAGTAACCACTCTGAATGACTTTGTTTACATCGGTTAATTATTCAGAAATTTAGAAAAATTGGTGGAGTTCCCTTTTCACATCCAGAATACCTCAAATTTGAAAAGTGATCAACTCTGGAGGCAGATAATGCATTAAGTTTACAACATATCATAAAATAACTTCTTGATGAGCCCAAAAGACTTAAAATATCTTCTGGGTACTCATATATCAACAATGCGTACACACATTTTTATGCATAGAATGTGATTCATATATTTTTTTTCTTGTGCTTGAGAAGATGCATGTATTTTTAGCCATGCACCTCCAGAAACTCAGAGTGGTAGAGAAGTGCAGTGTGTTTTGGGTAATCACAAAAACACATTGTTTGAAGCTTGGCACGTGATTTGTATTAGGCATTTTAGCTTTTAATCCAAAATGTTTTGATATCAGAAAAATAAAATGTAAAAAATGGAATTCTGGCATTCAAAATTAAATTGTTATTTATAGATATTATTTTCTGGCAAGTAAAATTCAATTAACACTTGTAATAACATATGGCTCATTCGTTTTAATGGGAGAAACAATTTTTGACACAATTTAACAGTAGCTGGTATTTTCAAATAATGTAAAAATGGAAATACAAGGTTTACTTCTGAGAGCAATGATAAGCTTCATACGCTAAGGAGCGCTTTAAAAAAGATGTTGTTTACTATGTATAGCTATGTAGGGGTGTTTCTTTATGTAAGTGATTTTGCTCGTGCACTAGCACTAGAGCAGTGTAGGATAGTATTTACAGTATTTCAATCGATGCTGTATAAGTCATCATTGAATAATATAACAGCAATTATTATGAAATGTTATTTAAAAATTTTAAATGGCAGTGTTAATTGTGATTTCTTTCATATTAAATGCTACAGTGATTTCAAACCTAGTCAAACACTTACAGACACCTTGGACAATGCGTTTCTTTGCTCTGGTATTTACAGGCCGGATTCAGTTTTATGACCAGTACGGGGTCATCAGAGACGTGCTCCAGAATCACCTTACGGAAGTCCTGACCCTTTTAATGATGAGCGTACCTGCTAATCTTTCCAGCAGTGAAGAAGTCCTAAAGAACAAGCTACAGGTTTTCAGCACCCTTGAGCATCTTGAGAGTAAAAGTGTGGTTATAGGTCAATACCAGAGCTACACTGAAGAGGTTCAGGAGGAGCTTAATAAAACAAAGGATTATTTCAGCCTAACCCCTACTTTTGCTGGTGAGTTTATGGCTTTTCTTTGCTGCATTTAGACTCTTACAGAATAAAAATACAAACTCCACACTCTACAACAAGCACAAATAGGTCTTTACTACGCTCAATTTATTTAAGTTGTTTTATTTTTTTTTATTATTTTTAGCACCTACATGTTTTGCATCTGTAGACCTAGAAATACTGCTCACTGTTGACTGGTCAACCACAATCATCACACAATTGTTATGCATTGTCACTTAATGCCAAAATCAGTTGTCTGTTACTCTTCACATAGAACAAACGCTGATTAAAAGGCAAATCAGAAAGTTCACTGTTCTATTTTGCAATGGGAAGCAGACACAGGAACTTGATCAGGGTACGGATAGTTTTGGGTACAGATTTGTAACCATACCATGCTGTATGACACTGCCTGGTGGAAAATGCTTTTATTTTAGTCATACAGTTATATTGACAATGTCTGTAAATTCCAAGGATGACTGTGACATTCTTGTGTTCCCAGGTGTCGTCATTTTTGCTGACAGTCCCCAGTATGATGGCATTCCCATATTTATGACCTCAGGTAAGATGCTTGACGAACGGGTTGGGTACGCTCGGATTCTTTTCAAAAACGACATATTTTGCGTTCAGGACTACGACAATGTGAACTGCAGGCCCAGACAAATTGTGTTCTATCTGGGTCATGGAGCCCTGGAATATCCAGCAATTCTCGTCAGCAAAAATTTGTTCAAGCCGTCTCTGGTGAACAGTGGTTGGAAAGAAGTTACTGAGCATAAAGATGTGAATGTGCTGGGGTTACCGCTCTCCGACTATTATATCCAGACCCCAGTTGTGCCCAAAGAGGCTTATTATGAGCTAATTTCTAAAATCTTCCATGGACGTAAGGACAGCTTTATCAGTACTGAGAACCTCCTGGCCTCATGGGCTTTCTGGACACCACTGTTGGACAGCCTGGTTAGGGCCTATCCTCGGCCATATCCGGGTAGTGTCGCCAATGGTGACCTGCTGAACTTCGAGCTGCGTGGTCGAGAGGCTGCTTTTGTTAACGAGGCGGTGGTGAATGTGATCCAGCAAGGCCAAGACGAGAACTTCCAGGTCATGCAAGGGAAGTACCGTGGTGTTGACATGGTGTCAGCCTGGGCAAAGGAGCTGGTGGAGCGCTTAGCCTCTGACCTACAAAGCGCGGCAGAAGAGGCCATACGCGATGAAGGTCAGTTCCATCTGGCATTGTCAGGTGGATCTAGTCCTATTGCACTGTTTCTTCAGCTGGCTCTGCACCAGTATACCTTCCCATGGAGTCACACTCATGTGTGGCTAGCGGATGAGCGCTGTGTGCCGCCCACTGAGGCGGGCTCCAACTTCCGCACCATTCATGATCAGCTGCTTCAGCATGTACGCATTCCATACTTCAACATTCACCCCATGCCAGTGCTGCTCAACCAACGCTTATGCGTTGAGGAAGATGGAGGAGCTATCCTCTATGAGAATGAGATCAACCAGCTAGTCAACGCTTCCAGCTTCCACTATATACTGCTTGGTGTAGGTGAGGACGGCCACACTGCCTCACTGTTTCAAGATAGTAAGCTTGACGAGAGCGGGGAAAGGCTTGTAACCCTTACAGAAAGTCCCAGCAAACCCCACCAACGAATGAGCCTTACATTCACTGCCATCAACAAAGCTCGCAAGGTGGGGGTTCTATTAATGGGCAAGAGAAAGCATGAGCTTGTCACTCAACTCAGCCGAATTAAAGGCGAATCAGCCAAGTATCCAATCACAAAAGTCCAACCAACGAATGGCAATCTAATCTGGTATTTAGACTATGATGCACTTTTAGGGTAATAATCAGTTTAAAATGTAAGAGATCTAAGAACTCTTGCACTCTTATGTATTCTAACCAGAGTTCAATTCAAAACATAGCTGTTGGAACAAAACCTTGTATCTCCATTTTTGTCACATAATTTGAAAATGCCAGCTGCCCTGTGTTAAAGTTCCACAATGAAATAAATGCAGCAATGAAATGAGAAAAAAAAATGATCTTCCATCCAAAGTTAAGATTTTTCCTTCCCCTGTGAAGTTAGTTTTGGAGATATAAGGTTTTGTTGCAACAGCGACAACATGCTGTATGAAAACCACAGAGGCGTTATGCCTACAGGATTGCTGGAATTAATTGAGTACTTCAAATCTGAAATTGTTTGCATAGTTGTGAATGTTTTTGTATGAGGAAGAGTTAAATTTTTTAAATGTTGCACTTAATTGTATGTGGTCTTATTGCTTTTGGATGACTGTACAGTGTGTCCTGTATTTGGATAATACAGGACAGACTGTGTGATGCAGCAAATCATACTGGGTCTCACAGTCTGCAAACTCAGAAACCCTAGTAAACAGTGATTTCAGGGGTGCTCTGATGTAATTGTTTTAGTAATACTGTGCTAATTATAAAAGGACTTTATTGGCTCCTCATAATTATGATGTAGGTGCATATATTGGAGCGTAAGTATAATTCTAACTATCCAATAAAGATCATGATAATTATAGTTATGATTGATATCAATATGAGTAGCTAATTCCAAAACCAACTAGTTTGACGTTTAATTGGGGACATTAGCCAGAGCACATTATTAATTTGCAATGGTTTAGTAGAACTGTAGTAAGGACCACTGGGAATTATCTTTCAGATGATTTATAAATACGTTTCTGCCCGTGATAGAGATCAGGAATGATTTTTCTGTTTAACCCCTGGATATTAGATGCATTACATACATTTTTTAGCGTTTGGATGCAAGGGGAAATAATTGTTGGACACTGTGAATATAAATATTGAAATTAAGTGAACTGAATGGTTAATTCTTTCCTGCACTTTCTCTAATTAATCATATTTAAACATATATAAACCAAACTTATCTCCAAACTTATGAAGCTGTTTTGATCAGTTCAGTGTGTAACTAGCTTCTGGACTTAATCAGAGAAAAATAAAACCTCATTAGTGTTACAAACCTAAAGTTTCAAATAATTGCATCTTCAGCATTACAGGAACACCGTGTGCACAAAGCTTATCAGTGTAGGAGTGCAGATTTGTCAGTAAAGTCAAAGTAAAGAAGAGATGAACCTGATCTTAAATCAGCTACTCTGAGACTATTCATGAATACGGACCCAGACCTGTTAACTTGTGCCCATAGCCTCTAGAAAGACTTGCTTTCCAAATGCAGATTAAAAGTCAGTTCTGCTTTTATACTTTTACTGTATATATTCAACCGTATTGTTTTAATAATATTAGGACAGGCTATACATTTCAGGCTTTTACCACTTCTGTCATTTCCCTGCTATAACACCACCGAGATAATTGTGTGGGATGTGCTGGTTATACCTGTCACAAAGTGTGCACATAAATGCCTTATGATCTCATCACGTTAGGAGGCAAAACAATAACCCATAATATTAAACTTTCAAGAGAAAACTGAAAATCTGTTTGGAAGGCTAGCTCTTAAAGCTGCAATCCCAATCAGTAATTACTTCAAGTTTACTGAAGGTGCACATATAAATATATACAATACTAGTTAAAAGTTTGGACACACCTATTGGAATGTACATTTGTTATAATCATAAACGCATTTTGATCTAAGTGATTATGCTCAAATACAAATAGTGAAGTCGATGCCTATGCATTAGGGCTGGGCAATATGACAATATATGTTGTCATCAATACTACTTTCTAAAAGCATTCAAAGAAGACAGAAGATAGTTTGATTTGTTTAAAGCTTTTTGGTCACTGCATAATTCCATATGTGTAATTTCATAGTTTTGATGTCTTCAAAATTGTTCTAAAGATGTGGAAAATAGTAGAATTGAGGAAAACCCCTCTATAAGTAGGTGTGTCCAAACCTTTGACTAGGACTGTCTATAGTTCTCATAACCAAAAACTGGCTTTCCAATTGCATGATTCCTGACCGGGCTTTGAAGTTTCCAAACATGCACACAATGCAACACACCGAGCCAGCGCAAGCAACTCATACCTCAGAAAGAAGTGCCTTATTGTTATTATCTGTGTACCATCTGTGAATCATGGTCCAAATAACAGCACAAATGCCTTATATTTACTCAAAGAGAAATTCCTCAGCTCATTCTAAATTCTTACAAACATTCACTGAAAATACACTAGTGACCATGTCCGAAAAAAGATCTGATCTATTATCACAAATTTTCCAAAAATTATCAGTTGCTTTTTGGAAACAAAAGAGTTTGGTGTAGTATGTAACACTGTTAAAGTTTCAAAATGTACCATTCAGTCCCCAGCCCATACAGTCTGAATTCATTGTTTTTGTGATGTCATGAAAACCAATATGTGTGTATGCCTAGTCCTTCAGAATACAGCAGTTTAAACACGGCAGTCTAAAAGGCATAGTAACAGCCTTAATTCTAAGAGATGAAGAGAGTTTGGTCAGTTAAAAGTGAATTAGAAGTTGTATTAGTGACTACATAAATCTACACAAATGTCTTAAGTCAACCTCAGGGAACAAAATTAAAATCAAGAGAAATGTTGGATATGCACGCTTCAGTCTCGGATGTATCATGATGTGTATTTTTAAATATTATAGTGTTATTCATTTGTCAGCGATGTGTGGTCCCTTTTCTCAGGTACAGTCACTTTTCTGACACCATTGGCAAATGGGGCACTGGGGTAGAATTTACTCTTGATTGAACATAGCTTAAGTAGACAACATACTGTATACAGTACTGTAAAGGTAAAACAATATTGTCTCAGCAGTTTCCATTTTTATATCAGTTTTGAGATTCTGTAGTAAAGAATGTCTAAATGTTTTGGTTCAGATGATACATGAACTGGTATTCTGTACATTGCCAGTGTATTTGATTTTACTGCCTTCTGTATATTTGGCTTATTTGATTTTGAATGGCTAATTGTATTTCATGGGTTCCAGTTTTCTTTTCTTTATCATCATATGTGAAATGTGATACACATTCCTTCACTGTATGCTGCTCATGGAACAGAGAGCATTTGAGTTATGACCAACAACATATCTGAGTTTTATCAAAGAGCGAAATAAAGTTTTCATATGAATGAGTGAAACCTTGATTTATTGTGCATTATTATATACAGTGCAACAGTCCTAGTGTGTTATTATTAAAAATATCTTTTTTTCTTGGCAGTAAGTATGTTTTTGCCAGTAAATACACTATATAACATTAGAATAAATATAAACAAACACTTGGAAATGTAACAAGTAAAAAAAAATATGAATAGTTAGAAGAAATAGATAAACCAGACTTGGATGGGAACTGTAAATACTGGGCTTCTTTGAAGAGAGGTTTGGAAATAGTTATGGTACAGTGACACACATCAAATCACAATTAATTGTTTATTTGTATTTGTTATAATGCTAGTTTTTTTTAGACAAATGAATGCTTACTGCCCAGATTAATCACTTTGCGTATCAAAAATTCTTAAATTCTTTTGCACAGTACTGTATGTCTTTCAAAAAGGTTCCAGCTTTTTAAAGGGTAGGGTGCTGTATTACCAATTTGCAGATTTGACCTAGTCCAGCGCCATACGTGTTAAAATTGCATTACTATGCCTTTAGTATGCAAAAGAACAGATTTTTTTCTGTGTAAATATTTTTATTATTGATAATGTACATTGAATGAACACAGAGACAGAGTACCAATGGAGTACCCCATTCTTCAGGCTAATACCTCTGCTTTAAAGACGGTTTTTCAAGGGGCGGTCTGCTGGTCAGTCCAGTTACTCAAGAACTGAATGGATTAACTGCTGCCGAATGACTATGGATGGCATTTCACTTTTACTCCCTTTTTGTAAGACCAAGACTGTAATGAAATATCCATGGTAATAGGATCTAACCAAGCTCAACTCAAAGACCAGCTCAAAGACCAGATGGAAATTCAGGCTTTGGCACAGGAAGGGTCTGAATAATAGATGGGTTCGCACACAGCAGAGAGGCTCACACAGCAGCTTAAAGAGACGCATCTCTGAACCAGTTTGGACACATTCTGTGGATCATCCAAAGGCACCCTCTTATCACGAAGAACACTGGGTAGAGATGTGTGCAAAATTTACATTAGTTAGCATTTCTTATTCTTTTTCAAATGTTATTTGTTTCTAGCGGGTGTTGAGGTACTCAGACAATAATGCATCGCAGTTCAGTTCAGTGATATTTCCCTAGATATTGTCTGTTAATGAATTTAGTGGGTTGAATGAGAGTGTACTGACTGAAGAAGTTTACCTGTAGAGAGGACACAAGTCCATGAAAGTACCAGTGAAAAGAGATACAGCTCTGGTGTGGTATTTGCCTAGAAAGACAATAAAATCATCATCAGTAATGCCATTACACAGTTCTGAGACACCTGCTTCAAATTACAAAAAGAAACATAGTACATACAAGATGTCAATGTCCTGTCAAAACGGCCATTATACACAAGTTATTCATTTTGCCATGTCAGGTGAAAAAAACAGAAACCAACAAAGGTCACACAGAAGCCTCAACCACTAAATATGTCCATTTTTGTATTTAGTTTGTCCATCATTTCCCTTTATTACAGCTTCCATTCTTTTTAGAACACTTGCTTTATGTCTTCAAATGATTTTGCAGGGATATTTTTTTCACGTTTCCCTTCCAAAAGTTTCAGTCTTAGAAGTTACATTTTCATGATCCAGGTAATCCCAAACACTCTCTATGATGTTGAGGCCTGAGCTCTGGGGAGGCCAGTCCATTGTTCTGAGAACACCAGCAGTTCTGCACAGTTGTAAATCCTTTCAGACCCATAGTGTTGGGTTGTCTTCTCACAGTGGAAGGATGGACAGAACTGTTTATCTGATGGTGACAGTTTTGTCTGCCCGGTCTTGCATGGTTGTTAAGAGTCCCATTTTCTCTGCATCATTTAATCATTTTCTGAAGTTTTGTATACTTCTGTGTTTATACTTATTTTCCTTTTGACTCTCTCCTTCCTTATACATGGTAATTATCTTATATGTAATCTCCCCAGGGATATCTCCTCAAACATTAATAACTTGGGGGGGGTAGTCTAACTTTTGCACAATACTGTATATTATGACATATGGGTTGCACACTTACACACTGGGGAGCACTGTGGGTCAGAATGATGGTACAAAGTCCCTGGGTGAATGAGAGCACTCCAAATGTGTGGTAAGCCGCTCTGATACTTTTGGGCACTGGGTCAGTGAGAGTAAGCGTCACTGCTAAGCCTACAGCAGAGTGAGAAAAGGTGACATAGGGTGTTAGTAAAGCAGAAGAAGAACATAATGAATGTGTCTAATAATTTGTATTGTGTTGAGGTAAAAGCCAAAGACACCTGTAGCCATGAAGGAGAACACAATGATGGCTATGAGATTGTTCAAAAGTGGCTTTTCACAGTAGCGCGTGGACTTTGGCCTGGAAAGATATAATGTTAATTCAGTCACAAGATAATCTGCACAAATATTGGTTTCAACTTATCTCTATATTATCTTCAGCAGCCAAAAAGAGTAAATCAGACAACTAAACATGAAAAAAGCTGTTAAACTTGCCTTGTCAAAATGTAGATCTGTGGCGTCAGACAGAGCACTACAAAGATGAAAAGAACTATCTGACTGGAAGACAAGACATAGGAGTGTAAGGGATTTCACAATGTCTGTAGGCCAACATGAACAAGACCACACAGACACAGCAATTCACTGAGCATGATGCTTCACTTCTTATCTCTTCTGAAATACATAAAAAAAATTGTTCCACTCCGGTCCAGATAAGGAACTTACAATTTCATCCTCTGGTCTCGTGGAAGCCATCTGCTGGTCTGATAAGCAGCATGAACCAAGAAGTGATGAAACATCGTCTTCTTGAAGTCAGCCAGGCAGAGCATGCAGTAGGCTCCTGTTTGTCTTTTCAAATGAAGAAGAGTCAATTATTTGCTCTTATTTGTAGTAATATTCTTGAATTTTTATGACGTGCACATTAAAGAAGCAAATTCATTCTAGAAGGATAAATGAAAAGTGATGAAACTCACCAGAAGGTGCTGGTCTCGTTTGTATTGAGCTTCAGGTAGAATAAAAGGGGCTGAGGAATGGGCCATTTCACATAAGTAATGCAGATTGCACCCCCCTGTGGTTGAACTGAGCATCACTGGAAATTTAAGAAGAAAAACAGTTTAGACTGTCAAAATGTGCCATTTCAATAGTAATTTCCTTTCAACATGTTTGGATGTTAATCACCTTAGACAGCTAAAATATTCCATCAAAAAGAAATTGGAGATAAACTGATCTTATGATGATCAGATATGATGTGATTTAGCTAATATTATTTGTAGCCTGTTTTTAAACTTATTGTCATTAGTCACTTGTTCTTAGGAAGAGAATTTTGTTTACTGAAAGAATATTCAGAGCAAAATTTCTCTGTCCCTTTTCAGACAGTACTGTTTTTAACTTTAATTGGTGTATTATGGTGTATTACTACATTGACCAGTGATGTATTAATAACAACATAATCAGAATAATATGTTAAACATTGCAAAAAGTAATGCATTAAATTGATTAAAACGTACTTAATTTTAGCATTAATACATTTTATTTTATTTTATTTCAAGCTATTTTTCAGGGATAAGTGTGTTGATATAAGTATAAAAGATTCATCCAATTTCAAAATGATTTATTTCACTTGTAAATCATTACAGATCAGTGCAGTAAATTGTGAATTATTTCAGTGAGCATAAAGTTTATTATGTAATTTTTTAAAAAAGTGCTCAGTATGAACCTCCTCCAGCTGTACGGACATCATCAACACGATAGTCAAATTCATCCTATACTCGATTGAGCATGTCTGGTGTCACTGTACTCACAGCTCTTTCAATGTGATTTCGGAGATCATCCAGTGTTGTGGAACCAACGACGAATGCTCTGAGCTGTCAGGGGTCTCCATCTCCTCTCAGACTGAAGGGAGCCATCTTCCGGTGACAATCAGAAACTCTATGACCCCCTCTTTCAATTGGTATGTGATTGGTTCCTAGAAAGCTCACGCTTGTAAAATATGGCGCTTTGAAATCAGATGAATCTTTTTGAATCACCCTGTATTTAATCCATGTAATGATGTATACATTTGAGGCAATTCAGCACATTACAGTTTAAATGTATAACAAATTATAGCTGTTACAGCATCAATGCTAGCATGCTAATTAGCTATGTCAAAAATTTAAAGTTACACATCCTCTACAGAGAAAACTTTTAAATATGACATTTTACTGCAAATTGTAGTAAACAATTTCATTTTTTTTTTTTTGCTATGGGGGAAAAAAGTATAAAATATAAATTGTGCCATAACTTTGATTTAACAGATGACCTGATTCTAAATGCATCTGATGGTTTCTTAATGGGATCTAAATATAGTTCTACGGGAATTTGAGAGCTGTTTTGCACTGTACTCTGCATTTTTTTCTTTGTTCCCTTTTTTTATGATTATGCTTCCAGGTTCTGCATTTCACCTCATTTCATACAGGAAACAAATGCACCAATCAGAGGAAGGAGCTCTCTTCAACACCAAATCTTTTGCCTAGTTGGCTGTCATTTCTTCCCTCAGCTAAACATCCTGTTAGTGCTGTAGTGCTGCTGCAGACTGTGATTAAGTGTTGCTCCAAATACTAAAACTAAACTTTGAATCAGGCTTATGAAAAAACATGCAACATACCTGAGCCAGCTACAACCTGCCCACAGCGTGAACCCATTCTCCTCGGCACACGGCCACAACATGTGCTTTATGAGTCACATTGTTCTCCTCGAGTTCCCCTGAGAAATATCCTCCCCAAGTGAGTAAAAAGTTACGCTCAGACTCAGAGAACTGCCCTTCCGAACGAGCCTCTAAAATAGCCATTGTGTCAGAGGGATCACCCCTGCCCCATATTACTGCACTCAAGGCACAGCGAACTGAAATACGACACATCACATCTGTGCCTCTTTCACACGCCTGAATGCGTTTAAATTCCAGCTGCCCGGTCCAGAAGTGTCCAGAAAGTGCAGAAGGCATCTGACTCTCTTCAGGGTGGATCTCAAACATGCCAGCCAACTACAGCGGAACGTGGGACATTGTGAACAATGAAAACTTTGAAGGTTACATGGTTGCCCTCGGTGAGTGGAACAGTTTTATATATATACTAGTCTGTATGATATCTAGAACTTAAGCTTTGGTAAAGATTAAGCAGGTTAAGACCAATCAAAAATAAACTGTAGCATTTTTTGACTGATTAAATGACATTGAGTGGCAGAACAATGTTATTTACTTTCTTTCTAATTTAATACTGTATGTTCACCCTGCTGAAAAAGGACGCTTAGAAATCATGGTTTTGCTTTCTAATGGGAATTGACTTAATGGTTCCCAAGAGAGACCACTAGCTTCCTGCAGAACACTTTTAGATCCTATTAGAAAACCATCAAATGCATTTAGAATCCGCCATTGGTCAACCGTTAAACCATGAGGATCCTTTACATTGTGATATCAAACCATTAAAAAAGCCAAAACACACCATAAAAGCATCAGGAACTGACAGAAACACAATTTGTAGTCCTAGAACAATTTTATAAATATTTCATTCTAGAAAATAACTCTGAGAAAGAAATTAAAGAGATTAAATTAAAGAAGAAATTAAAAGCAGTTTTTCACTTCACTAAACCAAATACAGGAATTGATTTCGCTACACGGAAGATGGCAGGGTTGCTGAAACCTCAGAAAGTGATTGAGCAAGATGGAGATTCTTTCATCATCAAAACTCTGACCTCCTTCAAAATCTACTCCTGCTCATTCAAAATCGGCGAGGAGTTTGAGGAGGTGACCAAAGGCCTGGACAACAGAAAATGCCAGGTAAAATGTATTTTTAATAAAATATTGACATCATCAAGTTAAATAGCACATTTCCTCATCACAACACATGTAAAATGTTGTTAATGTTGATTTTCTGGGATGTTCACAGACTCTAGTCAACTGGGAGGGGGACAAGCTTGTGTGTGTGCAGAAAGGAGAGAAGAAAGACAGAGGATGGACTCACTGGATAGATGGAGATAATCTCTATCTAGTATGTCCACATTTCTGATGAATATAAGAAGGAAATGGTGTTGTTGGGATGCATTTATAATATTGATTTACAACCCTATTTTTCTCTCTTTTCAAGGAACTCAAATGTGGAGACCAAATCTGCAAGCAAACATATAAAAAAACAGCTTGATTTCAAGTTAACTGGTCTAAAGATCTTTGTTGAATACATTAGTGAACTTTTTTGGTATTATCCTTCTGTTCTACCAATGAATTGTCTATGCACATGCTTACATGATGTCTGTTTCATGGTGAAATAAATAGTTTTAAACAATACTGTGATGTTTTGGTCTTCCTACATTTTGTATACTACATGCTATATTCATATGCAATATTTAACTTTGGACTGAGAGTCCATCATGTCTAATCCTCACCCAATAAGAGAATAGCCATAATTTTATTTTATATGTAAGTTTTTAATGTCATGTTTTCCTTTCCTTTCATTTTTTAGGTATTTTAGTACTAAAATTTATTAAAGCAATAAGCCACGAGAGGCTGTGCAGTACTGCGATTTTATTATGGGGAAGGGTGTTCTTAGGCATGACATGAAGCAGTGAGCAATATAAAATATAATAGAACACAATTTTTTCAGAAAATATTTTAAGTAATTATTAATAATAATCAAGATAAACCAGTATTTCTCCAAGAAATGTAGTTTGTTTAGAGTGTGGTGTGGGAGATTTTTTGATGATGTGAAAGATTTTTTAAGTGAAAGATGTTTTAATAATTTTAATTATAACTAATCATGCTGTATGGCTCACTCTGGGCAGCTCTCCTTGTGTGTGTGTGTGTGACCCTGACTATGTGATGTGTGCCAAGCAGGCCTGATTGTGTCAAAGGCTGGGGCCTAGATACACACACACTCACTGAGATCCTGTACTATATACTATTAAGAATGTCTTTTGGAGACACTCTTACCCCTCTTCTCATGCTGGGGCTGAATCTCAAAGTGCACACTATTTAGGGAGTAAGGATTCAGCCTGGGTTTGATGCCACTTCTTACTGAAACACAGACAGTGAATCATATTGTAAGTACTTTAATTCAAGCCTGTGATATTAATGATTGAGTTGTTTAGGCTGTTAGCTATCTTTTAGCCTATTAGCTAACTGCCCAGCCTAGTTCTAGTTAAGAAAATAAGTTGTAAGGCTCTCAGTTTAAACAAAATACAGGTTCTTACTTCATCAACATACTTGGTGGTCCATGTGAGCAGCATGAGGGTCAAAGATTATTCAGTTAACAGGTAAATATAAGGACTCTGTGTTTATAAGGGAATAAAAATCATTTTGTATTCTTCTCTTTTTGTCTACATGTTGGTGAATTGAAATGAAAATGCTTTGTTGCTCTGTGCAGTCTTTGCTCACAAAGAGCTTTTACTGAGTTCATTAGTTATATCTGGTGTGTTAAGATCAGGAGAAACTCTGAAATGTGCAGGTGAGGAGCAGGACTGAGAACTACTGCACCTCAGTATCTAACCAACACTGACAGAGATACAGATGATTTCACAGTGCCATCATGTGGACTAAGAACATAATGCATTTTGGTATTTTTTTAGTCTAACAATGGATTTAATAAAGGATCAAAATATAAATAATAAAATAATAAAATATCAATAATCTGTTCATTATGGCTATTTTTCACCTAAATTATGAAAATAAGTGACTGATCAATTTTTATCTTCCATCTCTAATAATTATATTTATACTTACATTGGGTACAAACAGTAAGACGATCTTCATTTCACCTTATGTCCCAGTGCTGCCTTTAACCAGTTAAAACATTTTTATCCACTCACCCAACACACAGACAAAAAGAGATACACTGCATTAATTCCCATACAATAAGAACTGAGTATGATTATTCACAAAATATATAATTATTACAGATAATTTATTGACAACTTTTTCCTTAGAGTGTGGATTTGGGTAAAGAAAGGGGTAAAAAAGTGGTATTAGTGCTGATAATGTATTTTATCCATATATAATATTGAAAAAAATCTGACACAATCTGACATCACGTACAGCATTACATTACAGTTTATTTTATAAACTCACAACACTTTATTCTGTACACACAGAAAACACACCGTGTGCACTCTTAGCATTGGCATTGTTACCTGCTGCTGAGAACTGTTACTATTATTGTGATATTATTATCAGTACTTACACTGTTATTACTAGTATTAGAGTACTCATAACAATGCACATACAAATATATATATATATATATATATATCATACTGGGGACTGGAGAAGTAGTTTTATCTTTCCCATATCCTATTCTCCACCGTTTACTCCATAAAGATCATCTTTTTTTCATCTTTTGTCCCAGTGTAGCCATTAAAGGTGGTATTAGTGTCATTTAGATATATAGCTGTATGGAATATGGGATTTATATCCCTTGACTTATAACTTGAAGATAAAACTGGAAAAAACTGAATTTCTCTAATGTATATTATCTATATATAAATGACAAAGGAAACCAGAAACAAACAACATGTCATACCACACAATATTCTTTCCCAGGGGCATGTCTACGGGTGGGCGTTGTCCACCCGAAAAGAAGCCTTGGCCACCCAATGAAAACTTCAAACTTGACAATGAAAAAATCACCGTTATAGTTATTTCTGAGCGCTCATAGTTTTTCTGTCAGTTATTTTTGTCAATGCTCTTCAATAAATGCACCGGATTTGCTTAGTCTATGCTCCTCTTCTACATCATATCTAAACCACAACACTGATTCACACATGCGGTACAGACATGGTGAAGTGAACTGCTAAACCTGCTCTCAACAATCCATGTAAAGTTATATTAATAGTCATGTAGTTTCACAGTTGTCGTGTATTTTACAACCGCTTCGAACGCGGCTCAGCCAATCAGATTTTAGGACCGGAACTATCCGCTTTATTGTTATTTATAAAACTAAAAACACTATTTTTTTTATTTGCATACTGTTTTGTCTTTGTCACAACGAGAAGTTAAGGCACTCCTGATATAAAGCACGAAGCTGAAGGGAACTTATTCGCCAGCTTCTTCGAATTTTCCTTTTCCACCTTAAATTGTGCAGCCTGGGGCACCAAACTGTACTTGCCACTTGATTTAAGGTGGACCGGGAAAAATTCGAACAAGAAGCTGGCGAACAGGAAGCCAACTTCAGTCTCGTATGTAAAGCCTTGTTTTTGCCCAGTCGAATCCATAGGAATCAAACTCCCAGTCAACAGAGGGCGCTACTAACAGGCCAATCCCGAGGAAGTTGCTGCAGAGGAGATATTTCGCGCAAATTTCAACGGGCTATTGTCCGTTTCAGATAGAGAACTAACTTAGTCAAACTGGTGACAGTTTTCTGATTTTCTTGATTTAAGCGTAACTTAAATATAAAGTAAGTTAGGTTAGCTGCTGAAGACGTGCTTAAATTAAAATGATGGATGAGAAGGACGCGTATGCACAGGTTTGTCATTAGGGTTGTTTACTTTGTTAGCTGGTTTATCTAGACAGTTAAGCTAGCTGGGAAATCCGATGTGAGCTTGTTTACATTTTAGCTCACGTAGTTTTATTTTATATTATGACCTGCTTCGTTGGAATTGTATTTGATGCCGTTTCAACAGCTTCTTGTTCAAATTTTCACGTTCCACCTTTAATGGAGCGGCAGTTAATTACATCTTGAGAAGGCACCACTTAAGGTGGAACGTGAAAAATTCGAACAAGAAGTTGCTGAGCTCAGCTTCGTGTCATTTCCAGAGGCTGAAAGCAGCTGTTCACTACACGGTCGGTAGACTCTGTCAGCAGGTAGCCGCAGACCATGAGAAAGAATTCAGCCGGCAAGCGATAGCAGCTCTCGCAGAAATCACATTCAGGCAGTGTGGTGGGTACAAAGATGTGTTTTTGTAGTATCTGTTTTTTTTATTATAGTTAACATGATTCTACTTAACCTACAACGCGTCACTCTTTCTTTTACATTGCAGATATATTTGCCACAGACCTGGAAGCGTTTGCGAAGTAAGTTAAATTGCCATTTCAGACATGCACTGGGGTGTGTGTAAATGAGGTTAAAGGGGAACTTCACCGATTTTTCAAAAATGTCTGCATAATTAAATGGTCAAGATGTCATTCAAGGTGGTTTGTTGTGAAATGCTTCGTTCTAGAGAAACTTACAGTCTCAGAATTGTTCACAGCGGTGGTGACAGGAACTAGACGTCCACCTCTAAAAGCTCCTCAAAATAGGCTACATAGTCCCCAAAGAAAATACGCCCCTTATTTACCACTGTGTTATCAGCAACAGGACATATAAAACTCAGAAGACACGTGTAGATTCACTGGTGGTTTTGGATAGTAAATAAAATGGCTACATTTGTGTTGTAGACATGGTTCCCTGGTTCCTATCAACATTACTGTAAAGAAATCTGAGTTGGCAGGTTTCTCTATAAATAAACCTCGTTTCACCAAACCAGTCTGAATGACTTTGTTTATATCTTAAATACTGAATTATGCAGACATCGGTGAAAAATCGGTGGAATTCCCCTTCAAGAATGAGGAATGTGCGAGTGCACAATGAGTCATTATTTTTAGTTGCACAAACTTTTTTTTTTTACCTGGAAAATAGAAATAAGAATGTTGTCTTTCCAGACACGCCAAACGGCAGACCGTGACAGTGGACGACGTAAAACTTCTAGCAAGAAGGAGCACGGCACTGGTACGACTTCTTAGCTGGGCTGCGAGTCGATCCCAAAAAGAATCGACTCATCGATTCCACCCATTCAGGAATCGAGAGTCCAAAATTTTGGACTCGATTCCACACAGTGACGTTCGTGCACACGGAGTGTGACTTTCTGCTGTTACTGTCTGTAGACCGTCCATATGAACAGGGCATATTTTCACAACATGTACAGCGATAATCCAGCTGTATTTTACTTTAGACAACATTGAAAAAAATTGGCTCACAATCAAACAACTTTGCCGGTGCCAAAACATCTAACCACCTAAAAGAACTGACAAAGGAGGATCAGGTTCAGTATCAAGCCCCTTAGTCAGCTAAGTTAATTAGCTAGTATTAGAACTCCAAATTTACATGCCAAGGTTAAATATTATTTGTGTACTCTATTCTTGCGAGATGTCCTTTGCCTTTATTTAGTGGAATTGCAATTGTGTGGAATTGACTTCATCAATTCCCGTCAACTCCAAAATCTATGGAATCAAACCAAAGGTGGTCTTTGCGGAGACAAAGTAAGGCAGCCACCTTCCTTTATTTTATATATATATATATATATATATATATATATATATATATATATATATATATATAATCATGTGTGTTTTAAAAATAGCTGTGATCGAAGTGATTATTTTATTAAGCCCTGTTTGCATGGACATATACTCTACAGGCCTTAATGTATCAGAAATTCATGTCATTCTCTAAGTTGCCAGATTCCCATTAGCACACAGCATGTCAGAGTATCCACACACCCTTCTAATGAATAAATTCAATTACTGTGAGATGCACCCATTGTGAATAGAATGGCATGCTCTGGACCAGCTGCCACTGAGCCTGATGTCATGTAGTGAGTGCTACTGCTCTTGGTAATACATTAGGTTTTAACATGAGTGAGGCAACAGTCCATAGATCAGTGATCATCAACCCTTCCCCTGGAGATCTACCTTCCTGCAGGTTTCACCTTCAAACCAAATCTTACAAACCCCCTTCAGCTGATCAGGGACTTCGGAATAGATGGATCAGATGGGGTTATGTAGTGTTGGAGCTGAAGTCTGCAAGAAGGTAGATCTCTAGGAGCTGGGTTGGTCACCACATAGTTTTACTTAAAGCCACCAGTAACAGATTCGTCAAAAAAAAAAAAAGTGAGCCACCCTGCAGGATTTTCTGTTTTGGTTTAGGTAAGGGCTGTTACCTGTTTATAAATATCCTCTAAAATGTATTTTTATGTCACTATAGTCAAATTACATCCAGCAGAAGAGTGAGGAACTAGCACTAAACAATCAGGAACAGAAGGAGAGGAGGAAGAAGAACGCTGCCAAGAGGAAGACTAAGAGCACAGAAGAGAATGAGGCAGATGTGGCAATGGAGACCTAGGACAAAAGTGACTGCCTCATTACCTGACAGGTGTAGGAGAACTGAATCTTAATAGCACACATATACTAAATATGGTCAATTACATTGTTTTTCTTGAGGACGCTGACTTAATATGAAGAGAAATGAGGAATGTCAATTAACTACTCACAGACATGCATCCAGGTTGTTTATTTTATTGTAATACAGAATGTGCAAAACATGTTTTCACTGCCTGTGAATGTAAGAAATTGTGACTGTATAAAACACTGATTCTTGTTATAAAATAGTTGAATGGCAAGACATTTGGTAAATATACTTGCAATTAAGACCTGCATTCTTTCACATTCACAGATACCAATGTCTAAACTGTTTTGACCAAAAAATGAAAATGGAGACACCAATCACAATAGAACTAATTATTGCATTTCAGTGTATAAAATCAGATCAGTGTCTGGCCATAATTTGGTAACACAATGTGTAGGTTATTATTTTTGGAGCCAGATAAAGCCTAAAAAGCCCTGCATTAAAAGGACAGTGTCCAAACTGGCTTGATCTGGCTCCAAAAAAGCCCAACAAGTGCCTGCTGATCAGCTACATTCTACAGTGTCCATTTCTGTTACCAGAGATGCTAATGCTGTAATGGGCAACCAGACACTCCTCCATCTTCCTCCGTCCCCAAACGGACTTTCCACCTGGGGTTCAGACGCAACCCGCAGCCAGCCATTTCCCAGGCCCCTAAACGTGTGAATTCAGTTAGTTTTTTGCTTCTTTTTCTCCCCCATAATCACTTGAGGTCAATCCAGTATAAGAAAACAGATACCTATTCAAATTGTTTTATTGAAGCACTCCCTTCATTTGACAAGCCATATAAAATGCCTTTGAAAACATTTAGCAAATGTTATCTAGAAGGAATTCATTCCACAGACATCCACAGCACTCAACATACAGGTCGCACTTACACCATCACTCGTGCTCACCCCCCTCAGTGTCCACTGAAGATGTCATCCACATCAAAGTTCACACTTACAGGTCAAGTTACAAGGAATTAAAGCACACACACCATACAGCATTCAGATCAGATTATATCAGCAAGACAAAAAAAATATTCATCACAACATTCCACTAGCTACTTAAACACATTGTCAGTATACTATAGAAGAAAAGCAAAATGGGAGGCCTAAGGGGGAAAGATAAACAAGAGATTCTTCAGGGTAAACATATTGTCCATGTTTTTGGGGTTGTATATAGGTGAAGCTGGGAATTGTCAACAAGCTCTCATTCACACGCTCACATTAGCCACCCACTGCAGTCACATTTGAGCTCTTTCATCGCACTCTCATCAGTCTTTTTTTTCCTCGTTCGCTCGCTTCCACGCTTTCCTTCCTCTCTCTCCCCGTTCGCTCACTCGCAGCCTTCTCACTCTTCGCCACCACCAATCGCACTCAAGAGTTGTTAAAAATGTTCATTTTCTGCGTAGTTCGTCAATCAGAAAAAAGGAAGTTGATTAAAAAGTAGACACCCACCGTGTCAGCGAGCCGTGCGATGAGAGCTTTAAGACATGGGGGAAGAAGGTAGGTTTATGATCTCAGCCACACAGTGCTGCCACAGAGGGCCTTCTTCCCAGGCAAAACCCAGAGATGGCAACTGCAGAAGAGATTTCGATGAAGGCTTTATAAATGTATCTTCACCAAACAGGTCTGTAAATAAAGCTGAACTCTTAAAAAGATTGCAGGTTTCAATCAGATTCTTCCCAATGCAAGCTTTTAAAAATGAAATTTAAAAAGGTGCAAATTTGGTGGTCTTTCATCACATGCATTTTCAGTGACCACAGATTGAACTGCATGCATTTTAAGAATCCAGTTGAAATGTTATTTCTTCCTACTCCCAATCAACCAAAACAACAACATAAAGAAAAACTGACACCAAGAATGATGCGTCTTTGTGTAACACTCTGGTTAACACAGCTCACTTCAAACACTAAATTTAATCTCTTGCTCAAATGTACAAAACATTCTGTTCTCTTCCCAATCTCCCCTTCCCCTCCTGCTCCCACTCCCAAACACACATGACAAGAGTTAAGTCTCTCAAAAATACTTACCAAACACACACTAGAAATACCAACACTTCAGAAACAAAACAAAAAACCCATAACTTACATACCCCATCCCGAAGACTTTGAATCCATACTAGAGCCAAAGCTTGAATTAAACCCACTTCCACCGGTACTGGAATTAGAACCAGTACCCCACCCCAGGGTAGCCGAACTGCTGTTGTAGTTACTATTGCCCGAACTATACTGCGGCTGGTCTCGAGAGGAGCTTGTGCTTGTGCTCGAGCCAGATGTGGCAGACTGACCCTGCTGAGCTAACATGCCCATCATGCCCCAGCTGCTCTGCAGAGCAGCCTGGGCAGCAGCCATCATGGCTGGGTTGAGGTTGAAGTTGCCAAAGTTGCCCAGGCTACTGGAGCTGCTGCGGCTGCTGCCAAAGCCCTGACCCCCAAACCCGTTCCCAAAGCGGCCCACCCGATCCATCATCTGCCTACTGTTGCTGTGTTTGGGCTCAGCATTGGAGATGTGCACGCTCACTCCTTTAATGATTAGGTCCTCTCCGCACAGGGAAGAGGCAACCTGTTGGAGAAGATAAGAGACAGGAGGAAGTTTCACAAAAACATATTAAATATACTGGTGTACATGCGTCAATGATGAAGTGTTCCATAAGTGTGCCTCTGAATTAGACTACACACAGTTATCTTAAGTGACTGTTTTCAACTATTTTTATGTAGTGCTGTTTGGCTTAAATATCCTTTAATTAACCAATATGTGCCATACCTGGTCATCAGCAAAAGTAACGAAAGCAAAAGCTCGGAAAGGCTTGGGAATGAAGACGTCTGTGACTTCGCCATACTGCATAAAGAACTGCCGCAGGTCGTCAGCGGTCATGTCTTCAGTGCAGCGCCCCACAAACACCTTCCTGCTCCTCATGGGCTCATCAGGACCCTGCTGTTGGACAAGAAGAACCATCTGTTGGTTCTGCATTGCACATCCAATAAGCAGTTTTGTTGCGAGTTGCCAACTTAACACATTTTGCACTTTAAGTTAGAGGTCTGCATTCCTGTCATGCATGGGAGCGGCGGTTAACGAGTCCAGTGCAGATGGGGGCGAGACAACGTGTAAGGAAATCCCGCAAATTAATGAATAACCTAAATATGATAATCACTTAATAATTAGCATAAATAATATCTATAAAAAAAAACATTTATTCTACATAGTTGTGAAGCAACCAATCACACAAACTGCTTTCTTGTAGGCAGAGGAACCTTCAGACAGTCAGACGGCCACAGCAGTGGAAGCGCTCTTAAGAAAGCCGAACACACAACAATAAAGCCTAATAACAGCAAGTCTGACATGTGGCAGTCGTTTTCAACCATGACTAATGCAAATGTAAACCAACTATACGGGACTGCGGACAGAAGCAGGCCAAATGGTGCAAGTTTTTGTGGGAGTGGGACTGTTAGAAGAATCAACAAGCTGTATAAATATAAATAAAAGTGAAAGCAAGATAGCTACATTTGCTGAGGAGTTGGAACTACTGCCTGAATTAGTTGTTGCAATTAACTGTACAAAATTATATAATTAATCGCAATTAAATATCTAAATCATCTGACAACATTAATTCATTACCTTTGAGTTGGGCAGTTTGCAATCACACCACCTCCCATCAATCATGTGTCGCTGGTTAATCACTTTATTTTGAGTTTCCCAGTCAGCAAATCTCACAAAGCCAAAGCCTTTTGAATTTCCAGTCTTCACATCCCGCTTTACCTGGGGAGAAAATCAGAATACACACAATAGCGAGATAAATCTTCACATCAAAGCCCAAAAGCCAAGGTTAAGGTGTAGTCACTTGTTTTTCAAAAGTGGACATTAGTTGTTTACCTGCACCATAATGACTTCACCAAAGGCACCAAAATAGTCCTTTAAATCTTGTTCTGTAGTTTTCCAGGGCAAACCCAACACAATGAGATCTGAAGTTTTCTGGTCCCCTCTCTTGATCTTGGCAGATGATGCATCAATTTCATCCATCTTCCTCTTGTTGTCTGGGAGAGCTGGCTCTTAAATTGAGAATATCAAGACAAGTGATTACAAACTGATCTCACAAAAACAGTGTCAGTCAATGAGAACTTTTTTCATTAATTCTCACATCTTACACTGATGTTTAGCAACTGTCTGTGTTTATCTTGTCTGTTCACTTTAAGAAGAAGAAAAAAAAAAATCACAACCAATGACAGACATTCCAACAAGACAATGCAAGACACCATGCAGTTCATTAAAAGAGGTTCAGACACAGTCTAAACTCATTGAGATCTTGTGGGCAAGTGTTGGAAAATGAGTAGAGAAGAACCAATATGGATGGTCTGTGGACAGCAGCAAAGAGTATGTGGGAATCAGGTTTGGCAATATAACAATATTTATCATTATATCAAGATAAAGTATGTCACAATTTGCTATTTGAGCATACTGTAGATACATACCTCTAACACACTGCCCAACTGCATGTACCATCACAAAGATAGTATAATTAGGCCTAGTATAACTGGATTTAATGCAGTGCAGTATAAGAAATGTGGAATAAAAATTTGTCCTTTTTTAATGGGGCAGTACTGGTTCTTTTTGTTCAGTCCAACTTACCAGATTTAATATTATATATATATATATATATATATATATATATATATATATATATATATATATATATATATATATATATATATATAGTGACAGCGTGTAGCAGGAAAAATTCTTCAAATGTCATTATATTGGGACTTTGCCATTTCGCTCACCTCTTTGTGAGAAGCAGCTCCTTTAAATAGTTAAGAACTTTAGAAAAGTATGACAAAGCAGTGTGGTGATGTCTTCAAGACTAAAGGACCTACAACACACTGACAAACAATATCAACTGTTAGTGTGTATTCCCTATTTTGCCTTCCTTTTTTGGTGTGTTAGTGATCATTTCAAAATCAACTTTTGAGCATATTTTTGACAGTATAGTGCTTTTCAGAATTTTGTAGGTCTTCTTGTCTCAACAATGCCCAGCATCACCCCACAAGATCTTTATGTGTTTAAAACTGTGCCTGAACTTAACTTAAAGGGGATTTCCAACCCTAAACGAATCTTCAAGATGTAAACAGTCATTCACAGTGATCTGATATGAAATGCTCCGTTCTAGTGAAACTTCCCGAGTCAGAATTGATCTCAGTTGTGGTGATCCAGAAGTCTGAAAAATTGAATACCTCTAAAAGCTCCCTCACAGAAAGTCACTGCATTTTAAGGTTACGAATGTGCTGCCTGATGTCCGAGACGTTGTTTTACTTAAGTTTTGAGGTAAGGTTTTGGCCTAAAACGTACATTTTTAAAAGCCATTCATGGCGGAGGGATACATATAGGGTATTGTGAGGCCTAATAGCCCCCAAAGAAAATGAATTTTTCCTAAATGTATCACTACTTCACCATCATCAACATGGCATAAAAAACGTTTTTTTTTTGTTTACATTTCAATGACTGAATTTTACACAAATTTCGAAAAATCAGTGGAATTCCCCTTTAAGGCTTAGCACACGTTTTGGCAACTTTGTGAACGATTATTTGTTCATAACAGCAGACTGAACTGAACTCTGTCTAAGGAACGTTACCAACCTTTCGGGTAATTTACGACGTAGACGAGGTTTCCCCAGCCGTTTTCAGGAGGATGTAGGACCCCCTCCACCAAGCGCACCCCCCGCATGCACTGCGATATGGGGCTCCGGTAGCGCAGGCCGCACGCACCCGGGAACTGAGCGGCTACCGTCGACAGCAGCACCGTCCCGTCGTCCTCTGACGGAATCTCCATCGGCTCCTCGTTCTCCTCCTCGGCCACACGAATATACATCTCAGCCATCTCGGCTCTGGCAGCGGAACAGACGGAGACAGACGGCGCTCTACTCTCTACACTGAAGGCGGAGCTGTCGAACACACGCCACGCTAAACGTTAGCTAGCTGTTAGCTAACTGGGCTAACAGCGCTCTTTACGACAAAGACAAAAAGTAAGCTGGTGAAAAAACGTTACGCTTGTCTAACGAAAAATGCACAGCGCAGCTGCTGATTTGCGCTGAATTTTAAAGAAGCGTGTTCGGTAAGATAAACAGCTCGGCGGCCGCTCAGTCAGGTCCCTCTGTTCCTTTGTTAGCTCCGTCGCTCCGAATGAATGAGCGAGCTAACCTGCTAACGCTTCGTCTCCAGAGATGAAGCGCCTTAAACTAGCTTTTCTAAACGCAAACCGTGCTGTGAACCACACATAAGGCCTGTGCCGTTTCAATACAGCTGCAACGCTTAAATAACTAACAAAAACACTGATTTACACGGCGGCTCCACTGAACTCGTGCTCCTCTTGTTTTCGTAGCCAAAAGGCATTACCTAAGTCATGGAGGAACTACGTCACCTCTGGAAGGTCGCATTATTGTAGTAGTGGGTGGAGAAGTGCTCTCACACAAAATAACAGTTTAGCGCAGCGCTAACGAGATACGCCGAAACGCGACAAGACCTTAAGAGCAAATCAAGTTGGTCAGAAGAGGAATAAACAATATGAGTAACATTTCAGTTAGCCTTTAGAAAATTCCACCAAAGCCGGTTTAAGGTGAGCTGGCCACCTCCTTTTTCTCCAGTTAAATCAGAAACATGACTACAAAACGCCAGAGGGCGCCCGCGAGCGAGTCCTCAATGAATGCGGTGAAAGGAGCTAAACGGCTAAAATGAAACGGTTAAGATAGTTTCTAACCACTTGTCCTGGACCTTCCTTAAATTTCCAAAAGTAGAAGGATTTATTTTACTTAAAACGCAAAGAAAAATTATCCATATCTTTCCTTTTTTCTACAGCAAACAGATTTTGGGTAGTAGGACGCTAGCATTACTGCTACTGCGTGCTAATTGGTTAGCAGTACTGCTCCTGAATGCTAATTGGCTGGTATCAGTGTTACTGAGTGCTGATTAGCTCTGGCTGAGTGAAGCTGTTCGAGTTCTCTGACGTCATGAGCAAACATGAGGCGCCTTTATAAAGTCCTATAGCTGGAGTTGAAAAGCGCTCAACAATATAACAGTGGTGTTAAAATGTTTTGTGCTGTTCTGTGTTCAGGAAATTAATGTGTTCTTCTATAAAAAAAAGTGTTTAAGCATTTACAAACTATGGTTTTGCTCAAATCCTCCTATTCTGTTTGGACTCGCTCATAAATAAGTTCAAATAAATGCACAGAAAAGGTACTAAACAACTTCACATTTTACTCTCCTTAATATGAAATAAATTCTCCCATTAACAGTTAACAGTTATTTAAAATGAATTAAAATTAATCTGTTTATTTGAAATTAAAATGTTAAAAATCATAAAATCAAACAAGAACAAATCAAAAGTATGAAAACTATCCAAAATATGTTAATGATTGCTCCATGCCTATGCAAGTTAATAAGAAAGACTTTTAAAAGGAAGATTTGAATGTTCAAGTGCAGAAACCTGGCGGTGAGATTCAGAATCATTTTAAAGACTGTGTAGTGCAGTGAGTCAACAGGCGGAACTAAAGATGGTGTTCATGGATCAGTAAAGCATTCTGTGAAAGGGCAAAGGGTTCATGGATCAATATATTGTTGAGATGTCAAGGTTGTAACAATAGAAGAACCGTTTTTGGTGCTGTATTGAACCCTTTCCACAACACATTCTCCATCAATCTGAAGAACTTTTTCACAATGCAAAGAACCCTTTACTCATGCAGTAGGTTCTTTGAGTGTCCAACTAAAGAACCCTTTGAAGAACCATATTCTTCAAGGGGGGATCATTTAATATGTTATTTCTCATGTTATGTAGTATTCTGTAGTACAGCAATACGTGCCTTAGCCTCATCGGTTTGACAGGATTCATGACTTCATATTGGTTTTGTGGTTTCATCTATCAATTTTCTCTTACTTTAATACCCAGCATGCAGTATGAAAACGCATCACAGAAGCATTGTGATTCCTTATGGCAATAAAGAAATCCACTGATGTATCAGTGATGTAGTGGCTAATAAATAGATGTGATATTTGGCTTCCTAAAAATAATGTCAGGTATCTGCAGAAGCCCGATAGTGGAAAAAAATTCAGATCAGCCCACCCCCAAAAATCCAACCCTAATTAGTTTTTCAAAACTTCCTCTCACCTTCAAGGTACATCATATATACATATACACACATATTAAACTGGTGGAGCTCACTCTTAAGACTATTGCAGCACCACTGTAGGAGGTGAGAAAGCATGTTCACAATAAATGTAGTGATTTTTTTCATTTTGGCCAGAATGTCCCATTAACTGAAGTTGAAAGAAGAAGTGTTAAAGTACTACATTGTCATGCTATGCAAAGTTAACCCTTAGAACCTGCTGTTATCTCCTGGCTATAACAAAAACATGATGTAATTTAATGTTAATTATTAGAAATTCTGCCAAAAGGACAGATTCCAAAGTTTCATCAGTAGTACATTTATATTTATAAGCTGAAGAGACATTTTATGATTGTGCATACAAGCCTGTTTTATGGAGAAAAAAGCTCATTTTATTCTAGTTTTTGTCAATTTTGGCTCTACAGAAAAGATTAGAATCTGTTAATACAGTAACCTTATTAAGTCGTAGCCTAATGTAAATTGAATGTGTAGCAAAATGACAATAAAAACACTACAGACCTCTAAGGCTTAACTAAGACTCGTCTAAGATTGCTGTTGTCTTACCTGCCAGTAGTGCTTCAATAAAGCTGACATGGGAACTTAAAAATGAAGACTTTTTTCATTTCTTACTTTTCATTATTTTGTGGATTATCCTTTTTTAATGGGAGCCAAATACTTTTTCAGTGTACAATTTCCCAGAAACTTCAGCCAGTTCACTTTATTTTTTTCTGTTCCGGTTTCTGAAACAGGTATACAGCATTTCAGAGCAGCTGTTCTCAATCCAAACTGGAGCTAGAACTAAACAAACACATGAGTTGGCCAGAGGCACCTAAGGTGTGGATTAGGAACCTTGGTCTTATTTGACTGATCGCTCATGGTCAGTATACCCATCACAAAAAAGACCAGCACACTTTTATGATCAATATATTTATATATTTTACAAAACAATAGAAATGCTACCAATAACAATATATGTTCACAGTTGCTGTTATGATACCACATTGAAATAATGTATATAAGTTAGACTGAAAATGATATATCTCAATAACATATAAACAAAAATAACATTAATCCAACATTTCCTGTCATGAAGGTCGCGTCATGACGAGCATTACGTTGTACATGAGGAGCTTTACCGAGTACAGCTTGCGTGTGTATGAGGCAGATATCTATGTGCTAATGTATTAATGTGCTGTTGAGTTGCTGTTGACTTCTGTAGAGGAGCATTGCTGAATATCCTCCCAATATAAGGAGCCGGCGTACTGGAGCTCGATGGCCAAAACGGGTGGAAATCAGCTAGGCATCAGGCAGTAACACTGACAGTATAGTGCAAAGTAGTCAGCTGCATTTCATCGTGTGTGTGTTTGAAGAGTAAGTTGTGACACTCAGCAGGATAACAAAAAGCAGCAAAAATAAATATCAAAAAGAATTTTTTTCAGTATACAAAAAGTCTTTAGGTTGTTTTTTTTAATTTTACCAATGAGTCTGGCAAAAATAAAGGCCTCAAGGAAAGTCTGCCAAATGAACTTGGGTGTTCTCCTCTTGTTTTCCACAACCTTCACACCAGAGACTCCATGCTCTCAGCCGTGTTGGATTCATCTGTGTTCACTATCCTTCCATTTCTGTCCATATATGGATAGCGAAGTCCAGTATCCTTACTGCCGACCAGGCTGAGCATTGCTTTGTAAAGATACTGATAATGCTCCTGAAAGGAAAAAAAAGAGCAAATGGTGAAATACAAATGTATGCTTTACAGGGCCCATTTCCTACAAATTTCTTGCATTTTATGTTCTTCTCATATATGATATATGTGTGGTTTCATGTACCCAAAACAATGAAAATTCATTTTTACCCATTTCCCAACCTCACTTAACCTGTGCCTTTAAGACTGACCTCTGTTCTGACTGGCTACACTGTATTGTATCTCATTCAAAAAGCAGTTCAGGCCGAAACACTCTCTATACCTTCAACTTAGATGGGTGAAGCTAAACTGCTATAGGCTGAGTAGGTGAATATATGTAAATGCATAGGTTTTTTGTGACATACTTTTGAATTTTAATGTTTACATACTACATCAAATGTTTTTTCTTCCCAAAAAGTGAGGACATTTGATTTTCCTTAACATGGGCCCATAAAATAACTACGCAGAATTTCATCATTGCTGTAATTTGTCTCTTGAAAGCTTACAATGTCTGTGAAGACGCTTGGCCTCATGAGGTTGATCATCTTGGCCACCTGGTACACATCCACAGCGCTCTCATTCTCCAGCTGCTGAGATAGAGTGGTCAGGGCGCAGAGCATCCCTGCTGAAACACCTCCAAACCTAAAGAATGAAAAGAGTCAAATCAACACACCACACCAAAATCAATGTAACATCTTCTCTCCTTTCTCTGTCTGAGTTTAGAATGTGTTTTCTCTCTTTATTTCTGAAATGTATCATATTTGACATTCAGAAGAGAACATAAACACATGCAGGACACTCACTCATCGTGTACGATAGTGGGGCCGTCTCTGGTCATGGCCTCCTCCTTGATGATGTTGATGAGCTCGAACGTGTTGCTGATGGGGGCACTGAGGTCAGGCCAGTTTGGACACTGAAAATGTCTAACCTCCAGCACATAGTCATCCTGAAACGCACACACATACAGACTCTTAGACCGCAATCAAGTCAGGAATTTCAGAGCCAGATGTACACATGAGCACAGACACAGCACAAAATGAATGCAGTATGTGCTCATAATGCATCAGAAATTAATATTCAATTTCCTAAAAATGAAAATAAAAGAGATTTTAATAGTTTTAATAGTTTATTCCCAACAAAACATTTTACAGAGGTGTATTTCTACCAGCACCAGTGCAAGAACTAAATCATTAACAGGGCATCCAAAAACCATGGTGGCCAGAGGTGCAGGAGTGCAGGGCATCAATGCAAAAATACAGCTAAGGAAAACATACGGTGCAACGTTATGTTAGACCTGTTCAAAGGAGCCACAAATTAAGAAGAGAATCAAAGGAGAGCCACATTCACAACAAATCTCCAAAGTCTGCCCATTAGGGAAATCTGTCCTCAGATTAATCTTCCTGGGCCATACAGCACATTTCTAATATGCAACCAATACAAAAACCCTAGTATGTTAATTGATGAAGAATTTTATACTGGTCACAGTGTCTATCCTCTGTTGAATCACTCACTAACAAGTTCCAAATTGCCTCTGGAAACAAAATCAGCAAAAGAACTGTGCATAAGAAGCTGCACGAAATGTGTTTCCATGGCTGAGCAGCTACACACAAGCCTAAGATCAAAATGCACAATGCCAAGTGTCAGCGGGAATAGTGTGAAGCATGTCACCACTAGACTCTGGAGCAGTGGAAAATATTCTGTGGAGTGACCAATCACACTTCTCTATCTGGCAGTCTGATGGACAATCTGGGTTTGGCGAAAACCAGGATAACGTTACCTGCCTAACTGCATTGTGCCAGTTGTAAAGTTTGGTGGAGGAGGGATAATGCTATGGGGTTGTTTTTCAGGGAAATCTTAATGGTTCAGCAAACCAAGACATTTTGGACAATTCTATGCTTCCAACTTTGTGGGAACAGTTTGTTGAAGGCCCTTTTCCGTTACAGCATGACTAAGCCCCAGTGCACAAAGCAAGGTCCATAAAGGCATGGCTGGGTGAGTTTGGTGTGGAAGAACTTGACTTGCCCACACAGAGCCCTGACCTCAACCCCATCAAACACCTTTGGGATGAACTAGAACAGAGATTGGGAGACAGGCCCTCTCGTCCAACTTCAGTGTCCGACCTCACAAATGCCCTTCTGGATGAATAGGCAAAAATTCCCAGAGAAAATCCAAAATCTTGAAGAAAGCTTCCCAGACGAGCGGAAGCTGTTATAGCTGCAAAGGGGGGACCAACTTCATATTAATGTCTATGGATTTAGAATGGGATGTCATAAAAGCCCCTATAGGTGTAATGTGTAGGTGTCCCAATACTTTTGTCCATATAGCATACGTGAAAAGTTGAATACAAATCATTGGAGCATAATGATGGCTGTTGGGGCACTGCCCCACTTAAAGACCCACAAATTGACCCCCTGATGACAGGACTGAATTCTACTTTTGGCAAAGTAAACAGAATTTGTGAAACAATAATGCAAACTGCATGCGCATAATTACGCCACATCATGGCATATTTTGTGCCCACAAATCTAATTCTCACAAACACACTTCCAATCCTAAAACGTTCTTCTCACCAACGTATATCTGAAATAATGTTATTCCCTTGGTAAAGATTCTTTCAACACTTGTTTGAGGCTCATGTCTCTACATAGCTGCTGTGTCTGCTGCCATTCTTAAAGGAAGTGTCCCAACAACATGCCTTGATACATTACTGCAAATTTATACCTGGTTTCTGGCTTTCAAAGGAAGAGAAAAATCAGTGCAAAACCCAGTGCACAAACTAGCGGAATATGTAATCAGCTGCAATTCCAATATCCCCACCCATTTTTGTGCAATCCTCCCTCACATGCATATGCACAAGGGAGAGAAGCAGATTTTGGATTTTTCTCATAAACTGCATGTTTAGGCTCGTGCACCACACAGGCAGAATGTGTCCGATTTGTATCTGAAACTGGCGCAAAAGGCTTAGTACATCGGTCCCCTTAGTGTCTGATTACTGGCTTATGTTATCTTTCTTTAATAAGAATGGATATATAATGTATATAATGTATAGTGCTTAAAATGCCCACTGTAGCTGTAATTCAAGCATCTTCCTTTAGCTTCTGTTTGCAGTGCTGTTGCTGTGGTGCTGACATCATGCCTGCTCCCAGAACATCATTTCTATTGGAGAGGTTGTGAAGTACCTGTGTAGCCTCCAGGATGAAGTCATGAATGATGAGTTGTTCTTCATTAGACAGACACAGTTTATCCGTGTTGATGAGGGTGACGGTGAAAGCCACACAGTTCATAGCCTCTTCTCTGCTGGGCCAGTACACAAACTCATCTTCTGTCTGTGAGGGCACAGAACAGGTCATATCATCATTCACATCACAACGTCCCTGGGGCTGTAGAAGTGAATTATTGGTCCCATTTTGTTCAAGGTGTTCTAACTGCTGAAAATGTACTATTTCGACTACTATGGAGTTACTTGACTCCAAGACTGCAGATCATTAAGATGTATATATATATATTATATATATATATATATATTATGTGAAACTCCATGTGTTGAGGAAGAATAGTTTATAGTGGGCAGTCTGGCAGTGCTATCATGCCACCTTTAGTAACACTTCACTAGAATTTCCAGCGATCTACTCACTAGCCCTAGATTGTCAGGCAGCATAACGATGACTTGAGCGTTGTGATCCCAGATCATCCTCCAGAAGTCCATGGTTGTATGGGGCAAGGGATGCTGGGTAATGATGAACTCATTGCTCCTGTAGTAGCCCTGTAATTGATAAAGCATGCAGTTCAGTCTTAAAACCTCCAATGATAAAAAGTAATTATAACATACCAAGAAATTATTATAGTAGAGTAAACCACAAACAGCCCATTTTAAACTTGAACTTGCTTTGATCTTCTAGACCAGCGGTGCACAACTCCGTTCCTGGAGGGCCTGGAGTGTCCAGCACAATTTGGTGATTTACCTACTCAAACACACCTGATTACACTTGTCTGTTAATTGCCAGGTTTAGTGGGTGTGTTTCAGTAGGGAAACCTCCAAACTGTGCTGGACACCGGCCCTCCAGAGTTGTGCACCCCCTGTTCTAGACTTTCACATAATCGTACAAATTCATTGCTGTCATGAGAAAACTAAAATACTGTAACTTTATTGGTGATTCCACAACTGGGGTGCCTTTTGTGACCGACTGACATTACATTTACAAATATGTATGTAAAGTAAAGGTAAAAGACATTTAAACATAGGTTAAGTGTTTACAACAATTGACATCTCCAAAATGCTAACTTTACAGGAGAAGGTACATTTCAGTTGTCTCCCACAACATTCACTCAACCCAGTTACCTGAACACACCCACCCTGAAAAATATCTGGAATAAAAGTCACATGAAATAAGTTCTTTGATTCTTTTTCTTTAGGTTCAGTGACACAGTGATATTGATTGAGTGCAGTTTGAAAGTATAGCCCTGTTATCTATATACAGATTGAACATTTGGGCGCCTCTGGTCAAATTACATGTTTTATTAATTTATTAAATGAAAATAAGTAACACATCCTCTACAGGGAATAAACCTAAATATGTCAATGAATTTTAGTGCACAATTTCTGTTTATTTGCTGAGGTTAACATATTGAAAAAAAGCAATATAAAATACAGCATTATTTTGCACATTTGGCACATTTTGTTTTGTATTTTTCCAATATGTCAAATTCAACAAATAAACAGTTCTTGTGCATTAAAATGTGTTTTAGAAACTTTCACTGAGAAAATCAACAAAACATGATTTGACCAGAGGCGCCCAGACTTTTACACACAATTATAAATTATCTGTTTTTTTTTTTTAATAAATCAATGGAATGTCCTTAATGCTACATTTAGTGTTTGCTACTTTTATGCAAAAAACTCAACTCTGTTACTTTCAACCATGTTACTCTTTAATCCACAATCAGCAAAGAAACTCTGTAAAAACTCTTTAGATTCAATGTTGAAAAATGATAATAAATTTGAATTTTTAGGAGTCACAAGGGCTAAATGGCACCACACTCATTGAATCACCTTTACATAGGAAGTAAAAATGTTCTTAACATTTGTTAATCTAAAACTTAAAAACTTGAAAGGGCTGCTTTTCAAAATTGCTATTGCTCCATTCATCATGAGGTGTTAACACAATGTAAAGGGCAGCTGACATTTTCAAATGGGGAAAAAATAATAAAAAAGAGAAAAATGAGATATAAGGTTTGTTATAACAGCAACGACATATTGCGCAAACGTTTTATGCACTGTTCCTCTAACACAAATGAAAGCTTCCAAAAATAGAGAGCCACTCGGGACTGAAAACATCGCTGCGGTGAAGTGTGTAATGGTACCGTAATGTAAGAGGCATTGATGTAGTCTGTGCCCTTCATTCCAGGGAGAGGAGCGAGTGTGACCCGAGCTCGCTCCGCTGTGGAAAGAAACATTCATAAATTACGCATCATATAAACACCAGCAGAGTTCACACAAGGTACCCTAAGCAAAATTCAGCGGAAAGCCACGTGAGAATAAAGGGCATCTTCTCTGACAGAGCATGAAGATGAAGATTAAATTATAACGGCATAGACAGAAAAACAAAATGACCTGTCAAGATTTATAAAGTATGACATGATTTCATAACTTTAATCACTCTAACAAAGTAGGACATTAATTGCAATGATGAAGAGACTGATGGTTGACGTTTATTGATACTCACATGGCACCACTGAGGAGTTGCGGTTCTTCTCTTTGTTGCAGTCTTTCTGAGCGCTGAAGCATTCCATGAACTGGGCATTGCACTGCATCACCAGCTGAGGAGACACATACCACAACTGATCACAAGGGGGAGCAAGTTAGCTGTAAAAAGAGCTCTGCAGTAGCGACACCGGAGTACAGCTCTAAGAAATTCACCCAGTTTTCTCATTAGGATTTATAAAGCAGAGCTGGTATTAGAATCCGATTGGAGTCACACTCTATAGGAAAACACTCAGTATTAATACATATGACTACCTCAGAGCAACTGAACTCTGTTTGAATGCCCAAATTAACATGATCATTGCTGTGGTAATTAGGTGAGCAAAAACTATGCGAAGGATTATGCAGTGAACAATTCTGTATTATGATATTTTCATTATTACATATTATGACAAAAAATGACATGGCGGCAATATACAAAGGCTCTTGTCCTTCATCAGCAGTCCTTAGTTGAAAACAATAGTTTCCTCTAAATCATCAGTTCTCAAACTTTTTTAGTCTAAGGTCGCCTTTGTGGATAGTTAGTGCTGCTGCTCCCACCCAAAAGATCCCAGCCACTAATTTCACTTGTAGTAACAAATGAGGACCGTATCTTACTAGAACCTTGCCCATTTTGTTAGCTATCTCTGACCTGCACAAAGAGACCCAGTGAGACGTTACAGATACGTAATTTACTGGGTGTGATATGGCAGTGAATGATTGGTTGGCACTTTTTAAATAGTATTAAATGCATCTACCATTTTTTAACAAGGGCCAATTTTAGATATGGCCCACGCAAATTTAATAAACTAAAAAAATGTAAAAATTACTATGCTGGCATTTTCTTCTGAAATTGTTCTGCGACCCCTTACCACACCCCTTCAGGGCCCCACGAGCTACACTTTTTGGTGTTAGAATTATTTATTGCTATTATTATTATTCATTATAACTCAAAGATTTTATTCTAAAATTTTTGTTTATGGTTAAAAACAATCCACTTGAGAAATGTATTACAGTGATTTTACCACTTTTCTTAGGCATGACACAAAGATTTATTTATTTATTTGCTTTTTTAAAACACATGTCTAGTAATAAAGCACACTGTGGAAAAGAAAAAGTTGAAAGTTAAAAGTTACTGTAGTCACTTAAAACCTGTGGTGATTTTAGTGGATCAGGACTCTATTTTGCAGCTATCAGTTAATCAGGAACCAAAGCCATAACCAAAGACTGTAAAAGGGCCATCTTTCCCAAAGTTAGGTAAAGCATTAAGTCAAATCCTTCACAGCCAATGCCGTTCATGTAAAATGCATTTGTATCCATATGGATTCATAGAGCTTGTGCTGGATTTAGTAGTGGAGTGGCCCAATAAGGAGGGGTTTGGCTTCACGGGTGATGGCTTCACGCTCAGCAGTATGCCTGAGCGGGGTCTCTGGACTTCCAGGACTGAAATTGGATTCCCCTGGTCTGTGATATCTGCAATATGATGTAGCTTAGCAGAGGAATAATTGTTACCTTAAACTGTTTCTCCATACGAGTGGTGCCAGTGAGGCTGGGGGTGAGGATGCTGTTCACATAGCTGTGGAGCTGCCAGATGGGGACCTCAGTGTCTTTACCAAGCACTGCCTCCATCAGAGCATCATGAATAAACACATACTGCTCCTGTAGGACACACACACACACACACACACACACAAAAGCTGCTTGAGTCTAAACTGCCAGCTATATTGACTGACTTTTATTGACTTTTTTAATTGGACACATCCCAGGGGAACAGGCATTAAAGCAGTTCCTCTTCCAACAAGTGGAGTTACTTTAACACTTTATTCTACACTATGTCTTTATTGAGCACCAACAAACACTCCAAATGCAGGTGCATGTACACACACACACACACACACACACACACACTCATCACTTACATTACTGCATACTAACCTCTGTCTGGACCAGGTAATTGCGCTGGGTGCGGATGTGTTTGAGAAAGCCCAGGACATTCACTGTGCCTTTGTCCTTTATCTGCTGCAGCATGCTGTCAATCACGATGTATGTGCCCGTCCTCCCCACGCCAGCACTAGGCAGAGAGAGCGTGTGAAACCAACAAACCCAAACTATGGAAAACCTCACAAAAGGAAGTGGATTAGTTTATCTGGGGAGGTACTGTAATTTAAGCAAAATCTGACAAGATTCATGATTTTTATCTGGTACGAATCTAATCTCCTTTGTAAATCAGTGAACCACAGCTTCTTCAGTAACAGTGGTTCTGTTTGAATTGACCTAATGTACAAACAAAAACCCAGTATGAAACATGACAGTGGAGCATGTTGCTATTGTCATAGAGCATCTATTCAGAAACACTCTGGGACTCGGCTTGTTTTACATACTATACTACTACAGTATCTTTTAGGTATACTGCATCCCATAATGCCACACACACATCATTATGGAATGGACATTATGGAATAGTTAGCTGTCTTTCACACATATTAATGTGTGTGTGTGTGTGTGTGTGTGTGTGTGTGCTCAACATGCCTTATATTGACACATAATCAAAGGCAAAATGAAATAAATAAAATTTGTCCAAATGCTGCTGGTCCCATTGAGTGCATTTACATGCACTTGAGTCATCTGATAACTGCAGAAAATCAGACTTTGTCCGTAATCCAATCAACGCGAAAAACTCCAGGTCTACATGAGTCAGGCAGTAATTCAGGCAGTAAACGTAATATAAAACTCAAAAACTCAAATATCAAAATACATCATCTAGAAGATGAAGAGTATTTAAATCCTTCATTTCATCAAGCATGTATTTGGTTTCAGCATTGCTCCAAAAGTGCTTTTTGCTGCCATCTCACGGCAACACTGCTTGCTTATTTCTGGTACCGCAGTCTATTTCGCACGTGCAGACTGAGAAATCCGAAAGAAATCAGAATAAGAGTTTAAATATACTGAGAAATCTGATTACTGAGCTAAAATCCAGCTCTCTTTATCAGATTTCTTAATCAGGTTTCTAGACCTTACTCCGATCTAAGAAATCGGAGTATGCTGTTCACCTGACCATTTGAATAATCAGATAACTGCAGAAATTATGATCGGATCATCGAGTGCATGTAAACACACTCATTGTTACACTGAAGCCTAGTATTGAGGTAAATTTGCTTGCTTATTTCATCTACTTAATAAAGTTACTGCATAGTTAACAATATTTAAGTTAATCTCAGCTGAATAATCTATACAGTACAGCACAGCACACATTTAGATGGTCCAGCAAAGGCTATTTTTAACATGCCAAATTCATATTTGGGTTATTAAGTCTGCAAGAATTTTACATTAGAATTTTCCTTGTTGTTTATTATTCAGGCAAACTATCTCAAATTACTAACGTTAAACAAGAAATGAAATGGCTCATCTTTAAGCAAACACACAGTCAAATCTGAATATTTTGTCTCTGGAAATGGAGAGAAAACAACACTCTCCACTCTGTCAGGGCATCAGGTGTGTTTTAAAATTCCATCAGGCACATGTTTGGACCTTATTTGAAATTCAAAATATATCAATGAAAAACACTGGCGAGCTGCTAAAGGAGTGAAAAGCGGCTAGCAATGGTTGCTAAGAAGCAACTTGAGGGCTATGAAAATGAGGTGGGTCTTGAGATTGGTCCAGTTGGCGCGCCTCGGCCCTGTACTGCGGCACATAGTAAGTGTAATTGTTGCATGCTATAAATGTCACATACAATATGTAACATACTTTTTGCCACAAATCAAATTACATTACAGAATCTGACCTGGTAAAACAAATCCAGCTCAAATAGTACTTTACTCACTCATAGTTACCACTTATGTGTCCACCATGAACCCTACCTGCAGTGCACTAGGATGGGTCCAGAATTAGGCGTGCGAGCAGCAGAGGATCTGGAGATGAAGGTGAGCACTGGTAGCGTGTACTCAGGCACACCCATATCAGGCCACTGAGTGTAATGATACTGGACCACTATTCTGCAATTCTGCCTTCCCTTCTGCCCCTGAAACAGAGACAAAGACAAAAAAACATCTTCTACATTCATCTAAGCAAATACAGTGACTCAGTATACAAGACAAGAACACATTCCACATCCTGCCTCAACAGTGACTGACCTTTTTGACTCTGGTGTTGCGTATGAAGAAGTGCCGCAGTGTGTACCACGCATGCACCTTTGTGCTCTTCAGTGTCACTACCATACTTCCATACTCCTCACTGTTCTCTGAGGGCCAGTACTGATCACATTTCCTCTGTGCAAAAATGAAAAACAACACAACTGAGCTTCAGTGTTTCTGAACATTTTGATAGGCACAGTATGTTAAGCCTCCTACAGGTTCCCTGTGCCTTGAAATGCAACTTACATTTGAATAATTATTTAATTATTTAGAAGTGCAGCTTCTAAATGTTCAATCCAAACCACAGTTGTATTGTATAACACATGACATTTTGTTATGATTTGAATTCGATTAAGTTACTGTTGTGCAAACAATCTTGTTATGAAGAAAAAATGAGCATCCTTTATATTTTTGTCATGCACTGACACTGAAACAAAAGAGAAAACCAGAAGTGAAGACTCAAAGTTGTTGACATAGGATGCAATTCATTACATAACATACATACATCATCTAAACCGCTTATCCTTCTGGGTCACGGTGGGGTGCTGGAGCCTGTCCCAGCTGTCATTGGGCAGAAGGCAGGATACACCCTGGACAGGTCGCCAGTCCATCGCAGGGCAGACAGACAGACATACACATTCACACTCACACCTAGGGGGCCTGACTGCATGTTTTTGGACTGTGGGAGGAAACCGGAGTACCCAGAGGAAACCAACGCAGACACGGGGAGAACATGCAAACTCCACACAGAAATGACCCTGGTCACCCGGCCAGGAATCAAACCCAGGCCATTCTTGCCTTCTTGATTTCAGTTTTTCAAAGAATTCTGCAGGGATAAATATCTGCACCTCTAAAGTTCAGTCTTAGAAGTTGGTTGCATTTTCTGCTTGTTTCAATCCAGCTAAACACATTCAATGATGTTGGGGTCTGGACTCTGTAGTGGACAGCCTACTGTCCTGAAAAGCAGCTTCTTTGTTAGATTTTTTCTTTTTTTCTCAGTTACAGCATTTTGACAGCTACACATTCTTTCAGACACATTGTGTTAAGTTAAGTTTCTGAAGCAAGAGTAGAGCTTGATTTTCTCCTCTCTCTTAAAGATGAAAGTGTTAAGTGCTGTTTATCTGATGGAGACAGTTTTGGTGTCTACCAGGCTTAGGAGTCTTGTTTTCTCTGCATCTTTTAATACATTTTTGAATTCCAGCTCAGAAATATCTCCTGAAAAATTAATAACTTGTACTTAATGACTTCAAATGAAATAAATCAAGGGTATCACAGTAATATAAGTAACAATTTCTGCATACTGTTGCTGTCAAGCAAAACCTTTGTATCTCCATTTTTTCTCATTTTTGTACCTTTTTAAATTATTTGAAAACTGTAGTTACCCTTTGCATTGTGTCAAAATTTCATGAAAGAAGAATAGAAATGGTCAAAATAATTGAGATATAAATAATTGCACAATGTTGACTGAATGTACTGAATGTTTATGATAACAAAAGTAATAATATTAGAACTCTAAACTTCCAAGCATTATATTAACAGCAAGGGATCGTGACTTACTCTGCCTTTCTCCACCAGATTGGTGATCATGACAATGACACTGGTGTTCTGCTCCCAGATCATTCTCCAGAAGTCTTCAAAGGTGGACTTCAGAGGTCCCTGAGCAGCGATGTATGCCCTGGGTCTGTTATAACCCTGAGACAGAGGAAAACTAGTTATAACATGCATACAGACACACTTACATGTGCATACAACCCACATATATACTTACATCTACATAGTTAGCGTTGATGTAGTCAGTATGTTTGGAATCTTTTCCAGGCAGGGGCTGCAATTTCACTCTGCTATGGTCATCTGAAGAGTAGTAAGATATATTAATACAACTTATTCAAACAACATTTGATATCGCAGCTAAAGGATCGCACTGAAGCTTCTTATGCACAAAAAAACCTCATCAAAATATTCATAAACTGTGTATGCAATATGACCATCTTCAGTGGACACTCACAGGCCACTATGTTGATGTATCTGTTTTTGTGTTTGTTCTCTGGATGGTTCGTGTGCTCTGCTGTAATCTTCACATCAGCCGTGCAACGCTGAACCTCCTATAGAAAGAGACAAATCTATAGTAACTACAGCCACTGAAACAGTGTTTCTTCTAGTTGTTCATGTTGGCCAGAATTCAGTGTTGAAAACCCTCATCAACTGCTAACCAAACTCATTTTTATTGACCAAATTAATGTAAAAACCTAGAGTCCTTTGAAAAATAATTCTCTAATTATTCCACTAATTAGCCACACTCCTGATTGTAATTTACATAAATTACCCCATTTGTCCAAATCATTTAATTATTATCACATCAATGCAATTTTGACTGCGTTTTATTCACCGTCACCGTAATTAGCACCCTGGTGTGCAGTGACGGTGTTGACATTCATCTACCCAAGTGCCTAATAGTTTGTCTTTTATCTTAACTGGGATGTTACAGCCTATTACATAACATAAACAGATCTCTCTTCTACAAGCACACTTCGGAAATACAGTGGGTATTAGAGTTAATTCAGTGTTGTGCAAAATCAGACATCACCATTTATTTAATTTACAGTCAAAAAGGCGACTGAGTACAAGTTATTCATTTTAAGACATATTTCTGATGAGATAAGATATAAAATAATCCCCTTGTGTAAGGAAGAGGAAAGCCAAAGGCAAATAAATGACAAAAGCCAGCCAGTTTCCAAAACTCCTAACAAATGTGCAAGACCTGACAGACCACCAAAACTGTCCCCGTCAGATAAACAGTACTGAAAGGTTTCATATTTGAGAGAGAAAATCAAGCTACATTTTCCTTTGAATCTGAAAAGATCCACAAGTGTTTTTGTCCATCCTTCCACTGTGAGAAGACAACTTAGCACTATGGGTCTGTAAGGATGTGTAGCTGTCAAGAAGCCCTTACTGAGAAAAAGAAATAGACAAAAAAACTACAAATCAAACAAAGAAGCTTCTGGTGTTAAAAACATCTTCCACCTCAGAGTCCAGACCTCAATATCACTGAATGTATTTGGGATTACTTGAATAATGGGAAGCAGAAACAGCAACCAACTTCTAAGAATGAATCTTTGGAGGTGTGGAAAAATATCCCTGCAGCTTTCTTTGGGAAACTGAAAGTGAGTCCCCATGAAAGGAATGAAAGCTGTAATACAGGTAAAGGGTGGACACACTAAATACTGAAAAATGTTATATTCTGTCTAGTTGTTGTTGAATTTTCTGTTAATTCTCCTGGCTTTTGAATAACTTTTCTTTTTGATTTGAAATAAATGAAGGGTGCTGTCTGACATTTGCACAGTATGTAGGAGTCTGATGCGTATGTGGGAATGTGTGCTTGTTTTTGAAGGTAACCACAGAAGGCTGTGTTGAGTAAATGTTTGCTATAGGCAGGAACCCGACTACAATGCTCTAGTGCTGCTGCACGCATTCCTGCAGCTAGAGCACAGCTTTAATGAGCCTCTTGTCTTTAATTAGCCCTTTCCCATAGCCATCTGCGCTACCAGTAACAGTGATACACACACGCTCAAAAATGCTGATACTCACATCGAACTCTTGAGAGAAGCCATGATGATTGTTGGAGTAGAGCTCCATTATATGTTTGATGAACTGTCTGACTGGGACTGCTTCCAGATCATCTGAAACACACGTGCACATGTATTTTTATAATGCAAACATTGGTGTCAAACCACATTAAAGGGGAATTTCGAAATTTTGGTGTAAATCAATCACTGAGATGTGAACAAAGTCAGTCAGGGTGGTTTGATGTGAAATGTGCCATCTAGAGAAGCTTCCCCAAGAGCCAGTAGTTGCAGTGTCTACTAATGCAAGTATAGCCAGTAAGTATTTTATTAACTGTCCAAAGTATTTTATTTACTGTCTTAAAAATGATGGTTCTGCATCAATGTGCTGTACACGGTTCTATATAAAACTTTTTTGAAAAGGGTTCTATATAGCACCAAAAAGGGTTCTTCTATTGTTAAGATGTCAAGCCTACACACTTTAAAATGATGGTTCTTCAAGGGTTCTTTAGTAAAGAAAATGGTTCTATATAGTACCATGAACACTCAAAGAACCATTTGCATGACTAAAGGGTTCTTTGCATCGTGAAAGCATTCTTCAGATTGATGGAAAATGTGCTGTAGATGGTTCTATATAGAACATTTTGAAAAGAGTTCTTTTATTGTAACAATATCAAGCCTATAGCAATAGAAGAACCCTTTTTGGTGCTATATAGAACCCTTTTCTATATAGAATCATATAAAACACATTCTCCATTAATCCCTTTCATGATGCAAAAGAACCCTTTAAACATGAAATGGGTTCTTTGAGTGTGCATAGTTCTATATATAACAATTTACTAAAGAACTCTTGAAGAACCATCCTTATTAAGTGTGTACAGAGAACACACTTCTGCACATTTTAACATACAATTACTGTTTATTTGCTGAATTTAACATATTTTCACATATTGACCTGTGCAAAAATCATGTGACATTATATTTTATGTTTGATTTTTTCCATTATGTTACACTCAGCAAATAAGTAGAACTTGTGCACTAAAATTAGCAGGAAAATGATATTTTTACGTTTGGTCCGGAGGATGTGTTAACTTAATTTTACTTAGAAAATCAATAAAACGTCACTTGACCAGGGGTGCTCAAACTTTTGCCAACTATAGTAAAACTACATCTTAGTCATCAGACAGCAAATTCAAGCATTTCATTTAACAGGTTCCTGTGACAGTTTTTAGAGGCATAAAATGCTTTGGATGTCTGATTCCTGTCACCAACACTATCAACAATTCAGACCGTTTCTCTGGAATGGAGCATTTCATACCAAACCACTCTGAATGACTGTTCATACCTTAATGCATCCTGATGCACGGTGACTCAAAAATATGGTTGTGATTTATTTAAAGGAATACTTCAGAATTTTTAATCTAATGATTTTCTGTTCTATCTATAGCATACAGTCTATTACCATGGCCAATCATTAAGATGCATTTCCCTATATAGAAAACCTGTTGACTGAACATATTAATCATAAAAGCCAGTGAGCAGTTGCGGAGTTCTTTCAGTGAAGTCTCATATCAAACACATAAAAACATTCTCATGAATTTGTAAATTAAGCTGTAAATATGCATAAATCATGTTTTCAGAAATGTGACTAGTTTTCCAGAGGGAAGAATTTGTGGTAATTTGTTAACAGCTTAGTGGTGTGGCTGGAGTTTTCACAGGCTCCTGCCTGATCATGCATGGATACCAGAAAACCTTCAGCAAAGTGAAGGAAACCAGAACTGCTTTTGTACTGTTTTACTCCAGTATTTGAAAGTTGGATGAAGCCTCATAAGAACAGCTTTGGTAAGACATTCTCTCACATCAGTTTCAAACTTAGACCTTTACTGTTAGAGTGTAATGGTTATAGTTTTGAATTCATATTATGTAGTCACATATTTCAAATGTTTGTTCATGGAACTCAGCAACTGCCTAATGGCTCCTGTGTTTGTGGTTTCGAATCAAAGGGCTTTCAGTTCTTGTCTAGGTTCAGGAAAATGTCACAAAATTACTCTCTGTGGTAGTTAGCGGTACGATACAGATGTGTACAGATGTGGCGGATAGAGAACAGGTGATTATACTCATTTATAAACTAGAGGCTGCGATTTCGCAGCAATTCAGTATTGCTGCAGTATGTTTCACATTCATAGGAAAGGTGGGGCTGCAAAGAATGCTGTGATTCCTGTGGAGAACATTTGTAAAGAGATGCACGGTGAAATCATTTGCATGTGCAAATGTGTTGGAAAAAACAACACCTCTAAATAAAGGATTCTTTGAGGCATAATTGTACAATGTAGAAGGTTGTTTAAACAACCTTTTGAGGTTTTACAAAAGAGATAAAGAGGTTGATTAAGGCAGTTTCCTTCATAGAAGGCAGTTAATATATTGCGTAAAATGAGTATCAGAAAGGCTGAATGTTAATTATACACAGACTGGTGTGTTATTTTTTATGCCTGAAAGTCTCCCCATTGGATAGCTGCACCCCTGAGTGATGGTGATGTTTAGGTGGTAGCATCTGTGTGTGGTGAACCTCATCAGTTACCCCTGAATGAGGGGGGTCTGGTACAATGACCTTTGTTATATATAATCACCCATACAAAGATACGGCTCATTGCTGGTTGGGGAGCCACACAGCTGAGGCCTTTATTTGCTCAGGCTGAACAAAGACTGAGAAGCTTGAAGGTATTTGACTTTTTGCCATAGTTGTGGATATTTATTAAACCCCCAGTGTCTACACAATCCAGTGGAAGGATGTTCCTTGATCAAATCAAACTGACACAAGCACGCCCTTTCCCTAGTTTGATGGGGGTGGTTGATGGGTTCTCTATAACAGAGACATTAAACTATCAACCAAAAACGGTGTACTCGTAAACATTAATGGTTGATTTTACTCCCAGGGCGCACAGTTATATAGACGTGTCAGACAAGATAGGAGAGAAAAAGCCAGGGAAGGAGAGAGCACAAACCTGGATGGATGGCAGGTCCATACTAGCAGCAGCTGGGGAATTTAACAAAACTATCAAATGCGTGAATGGAGCTATTAAAAAGCACCCTGCACTTTCAGGAATGAGGGAAATGCTCACTCAAGAAAACATTATAAACAGTGAATGAAAGCACATAAACTTCACCCGTATGTGTGTGCATGTGTGTCAGTTGCCTGCAAATAAGAGTGCGTGGATGTAATTGACTCACCAGGTATAGAGAGGGCAGGAAAGCTCTCATTGCGGATTACTCTAGGGGAGTTTCTGTCCTCTATGTAGATATGAGCCGCCTGGAAAAACCTCCTAAGAATAAAAAGATCCAGGTTAGTGGAACACCTTACAAATAAAGCCAAAGTCTGAGCCAATCGAGCTGTACAACATGTCAGTATCAGTATCTCTTTGGATGCAGTTAGTGTTCAAAAATTCATTGCAGTTAAACACGGCACTCAGAGAGAACATTCTGAAACTGAAACAGCCTCAGCTTCTGGAGATGCGAAAACTCTGCCAGGTGTTCCAGCACATCACCTTAAAAGAGCTGTCCAAACTCCTTTTTACTATCTGAGCCACAACAGTGTTGCTTCTCTGAGATATTCTGTAAAAATTGTGTGCATTCTAGTCTTCCAATCAATACTACATGTGTGTTTGTAAGCAGAAGAGTTGTTTTATCATGAATTGAATTTGATGAAAGGTTACTGTTGTGTGTGCAGTCTTGTTAAATGGAAAAATAACAATCCTTTATATTCAGAGAGGATAGAAATGGAATTCCTTATGTAATTAAGCTATGTAATAATTATGTAATTACCTAATTAAATTTCAAATGTACAGTAAAATGACAATAATAACTCTGCGGGTTAAAAGTATTCACAAATCAGTTATGCAATTCACAAATCTGTAACGCAATTATGTAATTCCATTTAAATAGTGTAGTAGTATGAAAACGGCATTTATAACTCTAGACTTCTGAGGGTTAAAAGTTTTTACAAGTTTAGTTAGCAGTCTCCTAATCATCTTATCCTACCATCTTTAAATAGCATTATTATTATTAATTACATAGAGGCTGGAGAAATGTTTTGGCATGGCATCCCATCATGCATAGCAATGACAAATGAAAATGCTAGCTGGCATCTTTTCTATTCTCATTCAGTGCCACACATTTTTGATAACATGTAAATATCCCAGCATAAGAGCACCCTACCTGTACTTAATGCAGAGCAAAGAGCAGATGCTATTCATCCTTGAGAGGGGAGATGAAAAGAGAATACGGAGAGATGGGATGAAAGGAAACAAGGGAGGAAAAGCAGGGGGGTTGAGAAATGGGAGGACCCTGGGGATCACCCCCCTACACCTCATCTGTCCTAATGACCCTCCCTCTGGAAGGGTGTACTCTTTTGTCTGTGTGAGCTTTCTTCCACCGGAGCCACAAAGCTGAAAGATGCTGTAGATTCTTTGGTGCAGCTTGAGGGTTTTAAGACGAAGCAGCTACATGATAAAAATAGTACAGCCAAGTTGGAAATGGATTTAAACTATTTTTTTTTCTTCCGGACAACCAACCATCTAATCAAGAGTTAGATTCCAGCACACAGACAAGCGCTGCATCTTCCTGCTCTGTTCTGGGCATCTGTGAGTTTGAGTGGAACGCAGAAAAGCCTCTGAGCCATCCAGATGGATTGCAGCCTACATAAAAAGCTCATTAGCCTATCACCTTGGCAACATTAGAACTTAGTTTAGGCCAATAATAGCATGCTTTCTGGTAAACATTCCTATGTGAGGTTTTTTTCTCGGATGGAATCAGGCAACCGAAAAAGTAACTTTAGTTAAAAACTTTCCTTTTGAAAAGAACTGAAATGCACCACAGCATTTTCACCTAGCAGGAACCTACAGATGAATTAATAACAAGGCAAACAACAACAAGCAAGACAATAGGGTTGATGAAAATGGCACTTTCAGTCTGCCATAGTCCTGCTGATACCACACAAAGCACTTCTCTACAGTACAGTACACTCATGACATCTTAATGACAAACCAAACGCATTCCATACTCTCTAGGGAGCTGTCAAATCTCCATCTGCTTCTCTTCCGCTCACTCATCAGATAATCGTTCATTAAATCCCTGACAAGCCTATTCAACTCAATCACCATTTCATTCACTTCGTCATTAACTCACTTCCTTCCACTAAAGCCTGATTGCCTATTACAGAGATGAGGTGCACCCAAATAACGACAAAATTAGCACTTTTTGTCTTGTCTTCTGTTGTTCACTTGGAAAGCCAAAGTGGCTGCATTAGAAAAAGAGTAGAATCGGTTTGGACTGATTACACTGTTACACAAATGATCCCAAACATCTGACCATACTTGGATCGTTCCACGGCGTCATTTAAGTCCACAACAATCCATGCCTTGTATTAGAGACAGAAATCTGCCTAAAAAGTCATATACTGACATCAAGCCTTTGCCATGATCATAGTCATATACAAAAGTTTGAACATTCCCAATCAAATTACATGTTTTGTTGATTTTAGAAGTGAAAATAAGTCAATATGTCCTTTAAAATTAATGTATTTTTCTTCAATTTTTTGTGCAAAATTTCTGTTTAACATATTGGAAAAAATAAATCATAAAATATGTTAACTTTTAAAACCATAACTTTTGCACAGACCAGATTTTATGTTTTATTTTTCCCCAATATGTTAAACTAAGCAAATAAACAGTAACTGTACATTAAAATGTGCAAAAATGTGTTCTCTGTAGGGGATGTGTTATTTTTTTCACTCAGAAAATGAGCAAAACATGTAATTTGACTAGGAGTACCCAAACTTTTGCAAACAAATGTATCTATTCCCACAATAACAGTAGAAACATTAATTTCAAGTTAAATTTAATAGTTTATCTGTGTCTGTGAGTTTTGCTTCTTACCCCATGGCACCAATTGAAATTTCTTGACATGAACACATCCATCTGGCATCAATCTGTTGGAACTCCATTTTTGCGACTTTAAAAGTACTGGTTACATTCAGGCTGTTGTTGACAGGAGCCTGATTAATCGCTTTCAGATTCTGTGGCACCTAAACCACCCAAATCAAGATAAACCCAGTGGATATATCACAGCTTCAGTCTTTATCTTTCCTCTGCGTCTCCAGCTCTGCTCTTCTACATGTTTATGCATTATAATGGCATGTTCCAGCCAGCACCCCTGGCCTTTAAGCCTCACAGATTGGAGCACAGCTGTGTTCCTCATCCTAAGGCTTGTAAGCCCTTGGGGCCCTGCATCCTCCACTCTTGTGCATGGACATGAGCATGGGAGGGGGGGCAGCCTAGAAAGGCACTGCTTTATGACCCAGAGCTTCTGGTGAAGGTGCAGTAGGTACTAGGTGCTGGGGGAGTCACAACTGATGGGCAAATTAGAAAAGGTGGAGTATGGAGGTGGTGTACGCAAGCAGAATTTCCTTTGGAAAAGAGAGGAAGTGGCAGAATGAACAAGAAAGCATGGAATCTGATATGTCCGCAAGCAAGATTTCATAATCAACTATAAAATTAAAATGCTTGATTAGTCTTCAATTGTTTTCAATTGTCAACAAAACAGCCACCCAAGAGAGCCAGACAAGCAGGACACCGTTAGTGAACATCTCACCTCCAATAGACCAGGACAGCCAGCAGCATGATGAGGCAGAGGAGCGTGAGAGCTGACACCACCATCAGAGGGATGATCCATTCCATCCTGCTTGCTGGGGATACCGGATCTCTGGGTACAGTGGATATGCTGTTCCGCTCTGAGTGGTGGATAGCCACAAAAAAGAGGGCACATTGACATAAAATGCTCCAAAACTAAAAACATTTATCTCATTTTTTTATCAACATTTTTATACATCTGTATTAATGAATTATATTTAATGTCTACCAAGTACAGCATTTTTTTCAATAGATAAGATACAGATTTGTCATAGTAAGCAAGTCAAGTGAAGAATGTGACAGAACTGAACCTTTAATTTGTGAGACCAATAATTTTCTATTCTTAGAAAGAGAAAAAGATCTATTTTTCTAGGTCTAGCACCAATAAATGACATTTAAAGGGCCCATATCCTACATTCTTATTGTACTTAGTCTTTTATCTAAAGTCGACTTTTAATGTCTGTGTGGTTTTATGTACCAAAAACTGTCATAATTTTTTTACATGACCGTTTTCCAACCTTGCTTATCCCCTACAATGAAACTGTTTTTGTTTCTGTGCTATTAAGACTGATAACATGTAAATGATATTTGCTCTGATTGGCTGCCCTTGTGCCTCATTCATAAAGCAGTCTAGGCTGAAACATCCCCTATGACTTCACTGTGAATGGGTGGGGCTAAACTGCTTTTGACTGAATAGGCAGAAATATGTAAATGCACTGGTTTTCACAGATTTTTAAACTTTAATAGCTCCCGAGTGGCGCAACCGTCTAAGCGTTGGCTCTATCATCAGGAGATCGCAAGTTCGATCCCTGATGATGCTACAGCCATCCGTAGCCGGGAGTCCGAGAGAGCATGAGCGGCAGCTCGAAAAGAAGCAGTGGTTGGCATCACAGGTCTCAGAGGAAGCCTGTGTTAGCCTTCACCCTCCTAGCGTTGATAGCATCATGTGATTGGGGGAGTCCTAACTAGCGGGTGGAATTGGAGACGACTAAATTGGGGAGAAAATCAGGTAAAAAAAAAACTTTAATGATGTTTACATACTAGATCAAACTCTTTTATTTTAAAAAAGTGATAAAATTCAGTTTTCCATGATACGGGCCCTTTAATTTCTATCAGCATTATCAGATAAAGTGATAAAAACAATGTTCTTAAAAAGTTTTAATGACTGATATTACACAGATTTGTCCCACAAAGTTCTGACAGAACTGCAGCTCTAATTTGTGACACCACAACCCTTTGGAACTCTCAGAGATCTACAGGTTGATCTGAGCTCAGGTACACTCTATACCTCACCTACCAGTGTGAATGTAGAAAGGCCACTGGCTTCTGTCCTCATTGGTCAGCTTTGTGGTCTGCGTGGGGCTGCTGGTAAGCTGCATGTCTGTTGTGTCACTGTCTTCCAGCCATGTTGGTCGTGTCGAGTCTCCCCCTGAAGATGTCTGAGTAACAGCGGAGATTTGCTCCTCTGTGGCTCTAGGGGGCGCTGTGGAAGCCTCTGCATCCCCACCCTTTTCGTTCTCTCTCTCTAGACGTTGAGGTTGGGACAGGAGCGGTGGGTTTCTCGAAAGTGTCCTGTCCCTCCTTTTTCTCTGTCACAACTACAGTCTTTTCTTTCTTTTTTCTCTCCTCCTCCTGCTGTTCCTCTTTATCATCCTCCTCGTCCTTCTCTCCGTCTTGTTCTTGCTCTTCCTTCTCTGGCTCTTTAGTTCCCACACTCTCCTCAGAGAGAAAGTTCTTGGTGTCAGAGGGGGTGGTCTCTGAAGCGGGAGGAGCCTGTTGGCGTGTGGGGGCGGGGGCAGAACTGGGGGACTGGGTGGGCCAAAGGGATCCGGGAAGGGAGGAAATCACGCCGCCGCTGAAGCCCAGGCCAGCCAGAAGCGTGCTGGTCACCACGGATGCCACTGTAGCCTGCCCGCCACTGGATGGAGGGCCCATGCCCGTTGCAATGGAGACAAAGGAGAAAGGGAGCCCAGAAGAGGCCCAAGTAGAGGAGCCAGAGCTGATGGGGGCCATGTCTGCAGAGGAAGGTGGAGACACTGTAGGCTGGAAAATTGCAAGATAGGAAATAAGGAGAAGTTATTTCTACAGTGCCAAAACATGCATAAACTAAGCCCATCAACATCAATTATATTTGTAACCAAGTAATCTACTGATTATTCCAACAATGAATCAAGTAATCAGTTTTTAAAAGGTCCTAAACACTATAAATAGACTTAATTGAACAATAACAAACCATGCACAGCGCTTCTAACACTTACATATAACACTTTAATACTTTATTAAAGACAGATAAACCAGGAAGCTTTTGAAAAGCATTAAAAAACATATCAACAATGTGTTAAAATGTAAATAGGTGTGTCCATCAGGCCCTGTTTCATACTGTAAGAAAGACCAATAGAAGAATTTAAAACAGACAGTGTCATGCATATTAACAGCAAATTACTGCAGATTCACATTTTAATCAATGTTATTGTTTAACTGACTGATTAACTGTGACAACCCTAATATACACTCACACAAGAGACGATGTTTATTCAAATAATTATGCCACCATCACAGTCTCGCAAGCCAGACTTCTGAATTTTGACAGAGAGTTTAGTACGTTTTGTCCCTTAATGTGGTCAAGAACTGCCTACTTTGACAGGAAAGGGCCGTTTTACTAACATGCGAAACAGCCAATCACAGACTGTTGTTTTTATGTGATGTGAAGGAGCAGGTGATTTTAAAAACTGGCTACCAGAAAAAGAAACACACAGGAAACAAATTGGTATGTCACCAAACACTTAACAATATCTTACGTTAAAGCTACCAAATGTTTTTAAAAAGCTCTTGAATAACTTTTAAAGACATAATGCCATGAACCTCACAAACTGCCTACAATCCAGCGTCTATATATCCCCGAAAGGTTTAGTAATGGTACATTGAGCTGACAACTGCTTGCAAACATTTTGTGTTTCTCGTCAGACTGATAAAATGCGCTGCATGGACGTTTGTTTGACGTTTGTAAAACTGACAAAATCTTGATAGTGTCCACCTTAGTGTGCAGTAGACATCAGACACCCATGTATGTGTGGGCAGAGCATTTGAGGCCGAGACTACTCACCATTCCAGTTTTCACAATTCTTGACCCTTCAAATATCCTCGTGGTGTTTGCTGAAAGAGCACAGAGTGAAACATTTTAGGCAATCAAGTGAACTGAATTACTAGTGAAGTAAAATAGGGCACATATGGATAATTCACCTCTGAATAAAAGTGTCTGGCTGAAGTCGCTGCGCTGGTCTCTCTGACACAAGGCCTGCACTCTGAAGAGATACAGAACATCTGGAAACATGCGAGTGATCACTGCCCTCTGCAGGAGACAGACATACACACACACACTTTAGTTAGGTAGCACTAAGATTGATCTTGATGTGAGAATATTAGCATGTGGCAGCTGGAATTTCATTTTAGGGGGGTTACAGGTTGAGAGGGCCAGTTAGCGAGCATTATGCCCCAGAAACAACTCTACAGGTAGTATTCGACTGACGTTACACTTGGTTGCCACAGACATATTGTCAACATATCACCGGTCAACGTGGTGAGGACAGCAGCGATAGCAGCTCTTGCAGAACCACTGTTTGCACACTGTTAGTTAATAAAGCATTCAGACAGATAAAATATCGACATGTTGTGTTGTGTGGTTCATGGTTGTAACAAGAAACAAAATAGTGTTTTACAGCATTCTGGACATCTGAAGGGAAAGAGGCTGAAGAGGTGGGCTAGCGGAGGAGAGATCTTTGGCTAGCGATAATAAACAGGAAGAACTTTCAGTCATCTTCCCTTAATGTTACCAAGGTTTGCTCTCATCATTTTGTCACAGGCAGACAGCTAGGTGAAGAATGAGTTCTGTAGTTTTGCACCTGACAATTGACATTGATCTACCTTAGTTAGTTGAGAGGATACCAGAACGTTAGCAGGGAATACTGATTAACCCATCAAACACAGATCTGTAGCTATTACTCATTTTGTGACCACATTTGAGGGTGTATTTGATGGTACAAAGGACAGAATATCGCTGACGCTTCCACAGACAAAATAATCATATCACTCTGGCCATTTGCATGCTTTTAGCTGCTGTGAAGTGAATGCTGACGCAGTATTAACAAGGTAATTATAGATGTGTTTGACATCTCGAGCAATAACGCATAATGGGGACCCAAAGATAACTTGTCGCTTTGGTATGGATCAACACCTCCGATCAAAATTACCCACTTATTGCCATAATCAGAGAGTGAATATCAAGGGGGAATTTTACTGTTTTTTCAAAATTTCATTTGGAAGTGTCCAGGCCTCTTTAGCCCCCCCACCCCCCCGCCCATAGCTATGCTCCTTGTGTGTGGATCCCATCAACTTCAGTAAAAGTAAAGCATAAACACACCGACAGAGCCTTTTGAAAATGTGTAGTGCTCTAAGTAGATTTGATTCTATGCTGAAGTGTCTCGAACTTCCCTTCCAAACTCACTTTTATTACTCACTAATAATATGACATAGACTGACAACATGGCAAATGACAAGATCTAATTTTGCTGGACAAAATGTAAATGTAAATTCAGATTTATGTTAATATTATGGAAGCCAGAATCACATTTATTCCTTGAAATTCGAATATAATTCAGGCCCCAAAAACTGGAGAGCTTCATATGACTGTTTCATATGACAAAAATTGGTCCTGACTCTCTTATGCAACCTACGCCCAGCTTCCAAATTGAAATAAAAATGTAAATGTGGCGCTCAAACGATTAGGGAGGCGGAATATGTTGGAGTGAAGGAGAGTAATTGGGCTTCGGCCGTGGCGGGCGATTTCTACAATTGAATCCAAATCTAATTCAGCCAAGCCAGAAAAAGATTGGCAGGTTTCATCTGAGAAGTTTCCTCAGCTTGCGGGGCCCTCCCTTGTTGTCATGGATACCACATGTAGAAGACCGATCTGGCAAGGTGACTGACGGTGGGGTGGGGTGTGCATGTTGGGAGGGGTGACTCATTCATCAGACTCCCAGGAAGAGAGACTGCATGCTGTCTAAACCTATCAATCCCACAAAGTTCATCAGGGTTATTAGGAATCTAGAGGTCCAAACAACGGCCTAGAGGGGCCAAATTCTGTTTATTTTCATCTCGGTCACTTCTTGGAATTTGATGTGAGTGGCATGGGTTTTGCAGTTTAAAAGTTTAAAGTGTTAATCTTGCTAGAGCCAAGCTTAAGATAACAACAGAATAGCCCAAAAGTATCACACATCTATTCTCTGTGAACCTTTTAATGCAGAGGGAAAAAAGTATATTTCTGCCTTTTAATCTACTCTTCACCTTTAATAACATGGTTTCTGAATGTTGTCTCAATTTGATATGTTAAGAAGCAAAAGTTCGTAGATTTTTATCTTTGTGCCACATGCGCTTCAGAAACTATGTATCCAATAATAAAGGCAACATTATGCTTCTTTTATATAGTGATAGAAAACATGGCAGCACACAGAAAGCTGCAATTCCATTGTGATGTATCGTAGAGGATTGTCTTGCAATATATTGAGTATCACAGAAACGCATTATCGTGATATCACCATTATCGTGGGCAACGTATCGTGATAATATTGTATCGTGAGACGCCCTGTGATTCCCACCCCTACACTTTACTATGGCTAATGTGGACATGCACACAGCCCAAGTACTCTAGAGGAAGATTTCAATGAGTTAATGGAGACAAGGCAGGGTAATGTTACACGCAGCACAGGAGCTGGAATACTCACAGTGTTGTGCTCACTGGTCTGAGTTTTCTCAAAAGCCACATCATCCTTAACCCAGCTGTAGGAGACCACGAAGCCAACTATGGGAGGGTGGTAGATGACTGATGGTCGATCCCAGGTCAGAACCAGCGCTGTTCGGTTCAGAGGATGGGCCTTCATATTACTAGGGACACTACTACAGACTGCAGAGAGAGACAGACAGGACAGACAGAGCAGAGAGAGAGAGAGAGAGAGAGAGAGAGAGAGAGAGATGAGAGAGAGAGAGACAGAGAGATGTGATTGAGACAAAAAACAAGAAATCTTCATCTCTCAGCATCAGGAAGGAGAGAAAAGTAGAGAGTTCTTCTCATTTGATTAGAGATGGTGTGATTGGAGACAAACGAGGCAAATTATAGCGGGAGCGCAGCCAGGATCTCAGACGTGCAGGTCCCTAGTTACTGCCTGGAGGTGAAGCTAAATCTTTTATTGCTGTCTGACTCACGAAAGTGTTCCCACCAGAAACTGCTTCAAAAAAGGCAAATAATACATGAGTTCATCTCAATCTGCCTTTAGGCTTTCAAACAGCCTCTGTATGTCTGTGAGTGTGTACACACATGTGTGTGTGTCTCTGTGTGCCATTGCTACAGATGTGGGATTAGTAAATGTTTTTTTGGCAGGCTGCAGAGTCAGAAAAACAAAGCCATGTAGAACTAGTCCTTTAAACAAGGCAAGGTCACTCTCACGGGACAAAGTGTGAGCAGCCAAACGGAAACGTCGCGCCAGCATTGTGCTTAGTGTGATACAGCTGAGAGCGGCTTCAGAAATGAATGCGTGTCCTGTAAGACATATGTGTCCTGTAAGGAAACACTGTTATTCAAAAAGGTATCAAAGTGATCACTGGACAGAACACAGAAAACAATCAACAGTCTGGAACCCTCAGGGCCTTCTAAGGGCCGAATATTTAGTTGGGATTAATTTAAAACAGTCATCATTGTTGTTGTACTTAAACTCTGTAAGTACTGTAATACTACTCTCATTTCAGTGAGTGCGTTTACTGGCACTCGGTAATCCGACCATAATCAGTTTTCTGCAGTTATCTGATTATTCAAATGGCCATGTAAACAGCATACTCTGATTTCTTAGATCGGAGTAAGGTCTAGAAATCTGATTAAGAAATCCAATAAAGACAGCTGGATTTTAGCTCAGTAATCAGATTTCTCAGAGCCTGTGTTCCCTTACTCTGATTTCTTTCGGATTTCTCAGTCTGCGCATGTGCAAAACAGACAGCAGTACCAGAAATAAGCAAGCAGCACTGCTTCAGAAATAAGCAATGGCAGCAAAACACTTTTGGAGCAATGCTGAAACCAACTACACGAAACATTCTTCATCTTCTAGATGATGTATGTTCATATTTTCAGGTGAAGTGGTGCAATGTTTCTCGAAAAAAAGCAGTGGCATGAAGTGGAGTTTACTGGCTGGTTGCAAAGCAGAAATCCGAATACTGCACTGACTCATGTAGACCCTGGAGTTTCTCCATTATCTGATTACTCAAGTGCATGTAAACGCATTGATTGGATTACTGACAAAATCTGATTTTCTGCAGTTATCAGATTATTAGGTGCATGTTAACACACTCATTGTTACATTTTGGTTAGAAATAAAAGAGTTAAAATTTTGAAATGGACGAAACAAAATTGTTCAGTTATCAATATCTAGATATCTAGGCATCTAGGTAGATACATCAAAGCTAGCTTTTCCATTGGTTAGAATTTCAGGAGCTGAACTGAAGGCTTAGCAAATCAGTTTAACCAATGACGTAATTAAAAACGGACGGAAAAACCAACCAATTTCATTTTGATTTACATGGGTGGGACTAATTTCCTGAGACTGCAAATACAAGTTGTAGCCTGAACGATGCGTTTCAGTCAGTTGATTGAAAGGGAAAAGAGTAGCAGCTCTGTGTCAGGACTCTTTACTGAAAGTGTCACTGTAAAACTCACTGTTAAATACATGTCAATATATCTGACACAAGCTTCAAATAAAACATGGAATGTCTTTTACAAGCTTCAGATGCCTGTGTTTAAACTGGAATGCTAAAAAAAAAATCATGCAAATCGCTGCACAGTTTAGCACTACAAGCATAGCAGGGGTGCTAGCAAAAATTAGCATAATTTCAGAGGTGTTTCTTCCTCATTTTAACTGACTTTCGACATGTATGACCTGAACTGAAAGTCTAACTCTAATAGACATGGTTTGCAACTATCAATCCTAAGCATAGCCTTATAGAAAATGCTGCTCCAACCTGTAATAAAAAACAAAAAAACAAAAAACTGAGTCAGCGTGCTACTTTCACTTTAGCAAGGGAGCAAGGGTGATATCTTGTTAAGAGAAATTTACAGGGACGAAGAACCCAAACTCTATGCGACAGAGGTTCGCTAATGTGTATAGTGGATGAGCAATGGAAAAACGTACCTTTACCAAATGTGACAGTGCGATATTAAAATATGTCTTATGGTCACAAATGCATCTGACAATAATGGTAACATTTAAATAAGAAGGCACAAAATGTTCTTAAATTGTAATGAGAGCAATTTTATTCCCAGTAATTTTTTCATGTTTTACTGGTCCATTTAGGGGCGCCAAGAAGGGCCTGGGTTTGATACCCCGACCGGATGACCACGGTCGCTTCTGTGTAGAGTTTGCATGTTCTCCCTGTGTCTGCATGGGTGTCCTCTGGGTACTCTGGTTTCCTCCCACAGTCCAAAGACATGCAGTCAGGCAAATTGGACATGCTGAATTGCCCCGATGTGGGTGTGTGAATCTAATGTCTGTGTGCCTGCCCTGCAGTGGACTGGCGACATGTCCAGGATGTTTCCTGCCTTCGGCCTGATGACTGCTGTGACTGCTGGGTTAGGCTCCAGTGACCCAGGATGATAAGTGGCATAGATAATGTGTCTGTGTGTGTGTTGGTCCAATCACCGTTAAATGTTCACAGAAAAATGACAATAATAATAATAGCAAATGATCTGTTAGATAGAGGTAACTTTTTCAACTAGCCTGAAAGAGAGCAGACGCTGGAGAACTTACATTCCCATTCGAGTAATAACACAACATCGTCTTTCAAATCCCATTATTGGATAGAGTCTCATTAGTAACTATTAATGTATCAGTCATACATCACCAGCAGAAAAAAAGCACTTGTGAGGGTTCTCACTCTTCAGTTAAGCTGGCAGTGGGTTACGTCATGGTGCAAGATGACTATAACACCCTGGATGACATATGGGACCCACCAGCCAATTTAAACTGCATTAGCGAACCTGAAAAGTGTCAGATGAGGAGCGAAAAATCAAGCTCATTCTTCAGTTCATATGATGATATACAGTATATTTCAGTGAAGGATACCAGCAGTGTAGCATGTACCTATATGTCTATCACTATAGAAAGAAATGAATCTCCACTACCAGAATCTTCACTTACGCCACTAAAAAGAAATGTTCTGTCAGTACCGTCCTGTACTTATGGAAGAGGACAAGTCATGACTGAAAGAACAGATCCAGTGCAAGTGTATTGCGACCTAAAGAGGAAGTGTATGCTAATAAAAACAGCGACATTTCTTAGCCTGTAAGCAGTAAGCAGCAGTAACTCATAGGCTTTTGATTATAATGAGTACCACATAAAAACAGAATTAAGGGCCATAAGCCATAGTTACCCTGAGACAACATCTCTTTAGGTTGGGGAGAGTGTAGCGGGCAGGGCCGCAGTGGTACTGGTTTTCCGACCAGGTGTTACATCATGCAGACCAGCTCACCTCAACCTGCAACTGTATTTTCTCTGCTACGTTCTGGCCCTGCCTCATCAGCATCGCCCAACTGTTTTCAGCTGCAATCCTTTAAGCTTTTTTCAACTCCTTTCACATCAATCACAAATAGCTTGGCTGACTTATTACTAATAGCTAGGTAACCGCAGAGTTCAAATCAGTTAACTAATTTTCTCCAAAATCTGGGAACGTATTTACAAAGCATCTCAGATTAGGGGCGCTGATCTATATGTCAGTAAAATCACCGTAAATAAAACATGAATCTCCTACTCCAAGAAGCTTTGTGAATATAGGCCTAGATCATTTTCTTCTCAACATTCTATCTACAAACCCAATTCCAGTATGTGAAATGCCAATAAAAACAATTCTGCTGAACGTGTATTAAATTCATAGTATTACAGAAAGAAAAGATTGATATAGAGACTCTATTAAATATAATATCAAGATGCATTTGATTTGGATTATAGAGTAACTGAGGTCTGGGAAGACGACCATGCCTGAAGTAAAATCAGGAACCAGAACTATCTGTACTGTGCTAGTACCTGTATCTGTAAATTGGCCATATCACAACTTTTTTGGAATACGTTGCTGACATTAATTTCAGAATTAACATAAATTTATAAAAAGCAAATTAAGTTGATAAGAAAACACATTACTGCTTTGTTTAAATACAGGTCAAAGTGGCTTTACAAATCAATACTTCCTAATTTTTTCTGCATTTCACATACTGTTCCAACTTTTTTGGAACTGTGTTTGTTTATTGCTTTTTCTTCTTTATTCACTATAGTGAGATAACCAAGCTGATCAGCTGGAGATCAAATGAAAACTGATCAATGCTTTTATGTGAATGGTGAAGCAATCAACACGGTAAATATGCACCAAACTTACAAATTAATAGGTATGTCACGTCACATATTTTGCCCCACCACGTAGAGTACATACTTTTCTTATTCGTGCCAGCTTTGCTGTGTCGCTTCTTGTTGCCATTGTCCATCCTCACGTAATTCAGGAGTGAAGTTGGTTACATCGTGTAGCAATGCCAAAACTAATGCACACTGTAGAACTGCATCAACCACGGCGAGAAAAGGTGCGTCAGCTGCAGCGAGGCACTTTCATTTCCCTTGACGATCCTATGTCATTTAGAGCTAATAAACATAATTTGAAAACAATGACCTGCCACGTCAAAACAGAACATTCATGATATACACTCTTGCTAAAAATACATGCTGCACAGTTTAAAAAAAAGAGTTTAAAAAAAATTCGAAGAGAACTTTACCATCAAGAAAAAATCAATCTGATATCTACTTCTTAAGTCTGCAATCAACAAGACTCTAGAGTAGAGCAGTGATGTCTGTGGGGTCCCAAAGGGAAAGTTTCTGCCACCTT